TCTCTTTCGAGCGGTTTGCTCATTTTTCGAAATTCTCTAAATCTTTTCGAGCGGTTTGCTATTTGCTTCAAGATCCTGTGGTCTCTTCCGAAACTCTCTAGTCTCTTTCGAGCGCTTTGCTCCTTGTTCTGGAATTCTCTAGCTCCGTGCGAGCGGTTTGCTCCTTGTTTTCAAAGTCCCTAGTCTCTTTAGAAATTATCTAATCTCTTTTTGGTGGTTTGCTCCTTTCGTCTCTTTGTCTAGTTCGTTTCGAGCTGTTTGCTCCTTGTTTTTTCTCGGGTCTCTTTCGAGATTCTCTAGTCTTTTTCGTGCGGATTGCTCCGTCTTCCGAAATACTTCCTTCCGAGCGGTTTGCTCCCTGAATTGAGATTCTCTAGTCCCTTTCGAAATTCCTAATTTGCTTCGAACGGATTGCTCTGTCTTCTGAAATTCTCTAGTTGCATGCGAGCGACTTGCTCCTGGTTTTCAAACATCTCTAGCCTCTTTCGAAATTCTCTAGTCTCTTTCGAGCGGTTTGCTCCTTGTTTTCAAGGTCTTCAGTCTTTATCGACATTCTGTAATCTCCTTCAAGCCGTTTGCCGCTTCTTCTGGAATTCTCCATTTCCTTTCGAGCGGGTTGTCCCTTGTTCTAAAATTTCCTAGTCTCTTTCGAGTGGTTTGCTCTTTGTTCTGAATTTCTCTAGTCTCTTTCGACATTCCCTAGTCTCTTTCGAGCGGTTTGCTCGTTTGCTCCTTCTTCTGTAACCCTCTAGTTCCTTTCGAGCGGTTTGCTCCTTCTTCTGAAACTCTCCAGTTCCTTTCGAGCGGCTTGCTCCTTGTTATGAATTTAGCGGGTCTCTTGCGGAATCCTCTAATCTGTTTAGAGCGGTTTGCTCGGATTTCTAAAATTCTCCAAATCTTTTCGAGCGGTTTGCGCCTTGTTTTCAGATCCTGTGGTCTCTTTCGAAAGTCTCTAGTCTATTTCGAGCGGTTTGACCCCTGTTCTGAAATTCTGTAGATACTTTCGACCACCTTGTGTTCAACTTCTCTAGTCTCTTTCGAAATATGTCTTTCGAGCGGTTTACGCCTTAATCTGAAACTCACGAGTTCCTTTCGAGCGGTTTGCTCCTTGTTTTCAACTTCTCTAGTCTTTCTCGAAATTCTCTAGTCTCTTTCGAGCGGTTTGCTCCTTCTTCTGAAATTCTCCAGTTCCTTTCGAGCGGTTTGCTCCTTGTTTTCATTTCCCTTAATCTCTGTCGAGTTCTCTAGTCTGTTTCGAGCGGTTTGCTCCTTCTTCTCAAATTCTCTAGTTTCGAAAGCTTTGCTCCCTCTTCCGAAACTCTCTCATTCCTTTCGAGCGGTTTGCTCCTTGTTTTCAAAATCTCTAGCTTCTTTCGAGATTCTCTACCCATCTACACGGACTAGTCACTAATCCACAATGTTGCCATCGCTGCACCTAGCCAGACCACATCTGCACACATAAACTGGTCGGCCGCAATTACATTCCTCAATGCGCGGACAGGCCTAAAATGATAGCCCCGAGCTATGCTCGAACCTTGCACCATAGGACCAAGGATTGTTAAAGATTCAACCCAAGTAAACACAAAACTAGCACTGCGCTCAGGTTCCGACCTCCTCATATACGACCTTCCCTATAAATGGGTTTTGTGCCCAGCATGGAAGCTCAAGAACAATCCTAAGCAAGATGCGAAACAAGATGGCAAAACACATGTATCATATTGGCAGCTAACTTAACAATAACAACATACGAGGCTTCAGTGGATTACCGCAGTACCTCGGGTTGATGGGTTCCGGGTTCCGGGTTCAGCCTGTAGGGTGCCACAAAGACACAAATTGGGGCTGCTGGAAGTCCGTGACAGAATCTTGCCTTTTGTATGGTGACTTCGAAGGTTGCCTTGGGACGCATATCCAGGCTTTTGGGCTCTCAAAAGACCTAGACCTAGGGCCTCCTCAAGCGGAGCGCTTCAAAGTTGACAGCGCCCGCGGCATCATGGAAGGATGGCCAAGACCATGGCCATCACTGTAGGCATATGCACGCTCTCTCAAAAACTAAAGCCACACTTCAGGGTTGAAATAGAAATATTAGACTCGAACTATCAGGACTGGGGCAACTCATGGCGCGGGCATTGTGACGCCTCAGTTTGGAAGCTGCCATCTAGCATTCGCGACAACATATATGCAATAGCCACTCGCAAACAACGGGCTAAAAGCCAAAATCGGCTGAAGAGAGACAGTCGTAGGCGCATGTTCGAAGGGCATTGCTGAGTCTGGGCTGCGGCACCCAGGTCCCTTGACACTTCATTGAATGATTCATTGCCAAACATCTCATCGGGACCTTGGACCATCCGTCCTGAGCGCCTGAACTTCAAGCCTCAAGCTCAAGATCACAACGTGCTCGGACACTGCACTCGCCTACTCTCTGGCCAGTCTGTTCTGAGCAGGAGTGTGCGGTTCGTTAACCTGACAGTACTATCCGCTTCACAAGCAAAGGAAGCTAGAGAAAGTATAAGCATCAACCCACCTAGTTGCGACTCACACAAGGCAGATTGCCTTTTTCGCCTGTCGCACAACGTCTCCAGCAGCACCTGGCTTGGGGGTCAGGCGGGCTTATGGACGTCAAGTGGGCCTTGGAGGCGCGCCGTAGATCCACATCTCTTCCACCCCTCTAGCCCCCTGTTGCCGTGTTGAACGGCTCAGGAAATCATAGTCTGCAGCAAGAACTGAAAACTTGCAGCCGCCGCGCTGCACATCGCCGGGTCTGTATGTTTTGAGGCTTATCGGTTTTTGACGAGGGAGAAATATCCGACATCTGGACTCGACGACCCATACTCTATGGACCAAAGGCCCATAATTACTGCCGTACTGAACTAAAGCCATGCATGTGATGAGCTGTCCTACAGCACTGTCAACAAGCAAGAAGAGCGCTGGTGCCCTGTGCAGGCCTGAAGCCAACTCAGAATGGGCGGCGCCCGTCGCTTCGTCTCTGGTCTCGCCAGACACCTCACGATCGCAAAGCCCCGCCTTTTGTGGAAGGCACTATAACGTCTTCGTCTCGCAACTTGCAGCACTACACGGAGTGCCCGCAGGGAATCTGCACCGGTCACACACGGAGAAAGCACCGACTTCCAAGCGCATGAAGACATGCGACATTTCTGTCACACTACCCAAACCTAAGTCTTACACACTTTGTTACGCTGCTTGACCCCACCTCGGACTTCTGGCAAAACCTGTCTGCCTACATCGAGCGCGGCATGATGCTCCTTCAGCAAGCTTGACGTACGGTTCCCTAAAGCACCGCAAAACCGAGGATTGTGGAGCCAGCAAAAGGTTGGCTCTTCGGGATGCTCTCACAGAAGCAGCAGTACAGGTCTAGGTTTCAGGGTTTGTTATATCGGCCTTAGGTTCCTGGGCTGACGGCCTAGGGTTCGATAGTGATGGTTCGCTGTGAAGTTCAAGGCTTGTGGCGCAGGGCTTCTGGCTCGGGTTTTACACTTTCACGGCTTGTGGTTTCATGCTCAGTATTTATGCCTGAGTTTCAAGTTCATGGTTTGGTGGTGTAGGCTTCAGGGCTCAGGTACAACTCAAAAACTCAGGCACCACAATTAAATACCAAATCCGTAGGATTCGTGGTCCAGCTCGGAGTTTAGTGTAATGTCCCGAACCCTTCTCCTGCACAGTAAGTGTGATAACATGTTTCTGAACATCAACTGACTGCTGCGCAGTCATGGCCCACTCATTGAAGGTCCTGAATCGCTGCTCCGTGGATCGCAAAGGCCCAAGCCAGAAGAGCAGGGTCGCGCATGTCACATGCAAGCGGCAAGCGCTACATGGATGGGCCTGCTACCAAAGCTTCGGAGCCCCAATAAAACAAACCGTGGAAAGATAGCTCTCCTCCGCTCACAGACAGCATGCAAGAGCATGTGAAGGTGCACCCCGTCAGTACATGACAGCCCAGCAAGCACAACTGCCACATGATTGCAGTTTTCCTCACGCATCCCTCAGAACCAGCATTGGGATAACAAGCTTCCGTGCTCAACTAGCACTGTGCTCAAAAGAGCTCCAGCATTCGGACAGCTTTGACCTAGCATCCATCATGTAGCGTATATATGTTCGGCAAGGAGAGCTAGCAACAGTGTAGTTGACATCTTCCGCGGGCATGCCGACATCCACGACCTCTACCTGAATCTCTTCGAAGGCTGCTGTCGGGTAGCAGGTCACATCAGATCTGTAAGTTTGGAGCCCAAAGGCTGATGACCTGTACTTGTAAGCGATGCTGCCGTTTGCCTTCGCGGCATCCTGAAACACACAATCTCCTTCTGCTGGCGAGACCCAGACACCGTGTCCCAACCGAGCACTGTAGCATGAGCCCTTCGACTTGAAAATGAACTCGCAGCCCGCCAGTTCGTCGGTGTTGAAACTGCCGGGCAGAGCCGCTTCCTGCTTGAACTTCACCTTCCACCACTCTGGAAGCACCGTGCTGGCGCGCAACCAGGCGGCTTTTCCACCGCCCCTGCAGGAGAAGTGCAAGCCGGCTCCGTGCCCCCGAAAGGACTGGGTCCCGTGAGGGCTTTTGATTAGAAGGTTCTCCCCGTCAGAAAGCCATGTCCAATCCGCAATCATGGCACCCAGCGCGTCATCGTCAACAGAACCTGGCAACAAGCTCGCTGCACCATAATTCTCTGAGGCCTATGAAAGCAATCACATAATTACGCCAGCATGCTGCGCTAAACCATCCTTACCGGCTTCACGATGCAAACTCCGCCGTTCTGGAATGCATGATCACACATCCCCGGAAGCCCTACTACTTTTGTCCGATTCCGGGGCTAGAATGAAACTTGCTCTAGTCTCCCACCGCATAGCATCTCAACTAGGAAGCCCAAGCCAAAAATGGCAATGAGCAACAGGCCTAGACCTAGACCTCGTCCTAGCGTTTTGCTGCTGCGGCTGTCTGGCACTGCGCCACTACGGATACATACGACGTCAGCCATGGACTTGCAGACTCATCCACCTGCCAGAAGAGCCTGCCTTTGCGAACCCAAACCATGCGGTTCTACGACTCTGAATGACTTGAGGCCACTGCCCTTGCTGGATGTTGTTGCAAGGAGCTCTCCGGTCTCATGGAATATGAAGAAGCCCTGCTCATCCTTCCCTGCAAAGCCAAAGCTCAGAACCGCAGGCTCTGCGGCCTGGATACAAGCTCTGGGGAGCTCATCTGCAGGTACTTCGCTGCAGCTCGAGGACAGATTGCATGTGCATGCATCAGGCGATCCAGGGTTGATGGTGAAGAACTCCCACTTGATAAGGTCATATCCACAACGGCTGCCTCTAAACTCAGTCAAGGCATGCTCCGGCGTCTTGCAACCATCGCAAGCATAGTGAGATGCATTGCGGCTGGTCACCGTATAGACGGTTTGCGGGGAGCACAGCGGCTGCCCAGGCGTCGCTGCACACCAGCTTGTGAGGCTGAAGTGCTCTGGGTCGGGCACCACCTTGCACTTGGCCGGCGGCAAGGCGTCTGCAGAAGTCCACCTCATTTTAAACTTCACATGTCTGCTCATTCTACCATGTGCCAGTTGCCGGTGGCCATGGACAAGCATGGCCTGGCCTGCTCTGCAGGTGTTGTTGTTTGCATCTACCAGTCCTGCGGTCAGTCTCGTCACATGGAAAGCGTCTCCAAATCGACAGAGTGGTCGGGGAACGCAAATTCCAGACACTGCAGGGCCACTCCATGCGATGCGGCCAAAAAAGCCGCGTAAACACCGACATGCAGGACCCGGCGCATGGTCAGAGTGAAGAACACGGCAGGGCACAGGCTCACAAGTTCCAGTGGCTGATGAACCATGCCACGTGATCTCTCCTTGGAAACCGTCTTTGCACCGACAGGCCCGTCCAGGCTCCAGATTGGAGTTCTGAATGTTACAAGGGGCGGGCTTGCAGCTCCCAGTGGGCCAGTCTTCTCTCCACAAAATATCTCCAACAAAACCATCCTCACACTTGCATGCGTGCCCCGGCTCGTGATTGGAGTTATCAATGTCGCACTGAGCCGGCACACATGTGCCGCTTTCCCATGTGCCCTCCCAAGTGATGCGGCCAGAGTAACCGTCTGAGCACTTGCACTCCAAGCCTGGCTTGCCATTAGAGTTTGCAGTCCAACATTGGGCTGCCACACAAAAACCACTCGGAACTTGACCTTTCCAGGAAATTTGCCCCTGATACCCATCCTGGCAAGCGCAATCTTTGCCGGGCTTCATGTTTGAGTGTTCTATAGTGCACGCAGCAGGTAGGCATTCGACTTCAATGGCTCTTCCCAATCCGAAGCCCGGAGACGATTTCAAAGGTGCGCGGAGCACCTCCTTGGACCCATTCATGAAGAACCCATCCGTACAACCACAACCAGGGCCCTTCTTGCCATTGGAATGAGGCCCTTGGCAGTGCAGCGGAAGGCAGCTGCCGAAGGAACGTGAATTCCACCAAGAAATAAAGCCCCCGAAGCCCTCGAGGCACTTGCATGCGTGTCCATCCTCCTGGTTGGAGTTTTTGATTGTGCAGGTTGCAGGCTCGCAGTCTCCCGAAGCATTGGCACCCGACCAAGTCACCGTGCCATCAAAGCCATCTTTGCACTTGCACTTTCTTCCGCTGCCCTTTGCATTTGCAATGTTTGCACATGACGCCGGTTTGCAGGGTCCCTGTGGTGTGTTGCCTTTCCATGTGATCTCTCCTGCAAACCCATCTAGGCAGGCGCACTGTTGGCCCGACTTCTCGTTGGAGTTCTTGATCGCACAGGGCGCCGGTGTACAAGTGCCGCTCGGACGGTCTCCGTGCCACCTTATATCACCCACATAGCCATCCTTGCATTTGCAGCCAGGACCGGGTTGCTGGTTGGAGTTCTCTATGTGGCACGCTGTGGCTTTGCAGCTTCCATGAGGCACTGCACCCTGCCAAAGAACCTTGCCTGTGAAACCATCTTTGCACTTGCATTTCGCTCCCTCGCCCACGCTGTTTTCAACGTTGTCTGCACAGCCTGCTGCCAGCACACATGGACCGAGAGGTTGCGAACGTTTCCAGCTGATGTTGCCGTCATAGCCGTCCATGCACTTGCAATCCGGCCCCGCGCCTATGGAATATTGAATGCCGCAGTCAGCTGGCAGACATTCACCAGATGCAATGGATTGGTGCCATTGAACCTCACCGGAGAAACCGTCTTTGCACTGGCACTGAAGACCCGGCTTCCTGGTCGAATTTTCAATGTAGCATGGAGCAGGAGTACAATTGCCACTGACTTGGGCCCCCTCCCAGACAATGTTCCCAGCATAGCCGTTGCTGCAGTTACACAACGGACCTGGCTCCCGGTTCGAATTATCTACGGCACATGGCACCGGGGTGCAGAAATCTTTCGCCACCATGTCCGGTACTTCCTCTGCTTCAGCATCGAGGCCGCCTTCATACCCATCACAGCAGGAACATTTGTTCTTTAAGCAGCCACACACATGCTTGATGGTCTTCACCTCCACGTTCAAGTCCAGCGTCGTCGATGACTTCTTGCTCAGGCCTTGCGAGAATGCTTCTCAAAGACCCCAGGAACAACTAAGTAAGCTTGCAAACAGCACTGGGCCGATCCAACCCCGGAGTAATACTCACGGCAGCCTGGTGACCCATACGGCAGCTACTCTGCACGGCCAGTCTTCTGTAGCTTAGCTATGGGCCTTCAGTCGACGACGAATTACGCAGCCCAGCCTCGAGCAGTCAGTTTGCACTTCGTGGATGCCGCAGCCGGAATCTCGAGGATGGCGGGCTTCTCATCGAACTGAATCAGTGAGTGCTCGAGCCTGTAATCCGTGCAGTTGTCTGGATCCGTCTCGCAACAGATCTCGATACTCCTGGCGTCAAAGACAGCTGGTGAGCAAACTCTCTGCAGCCGTCAAAGTGCAAACCAAGCTTCGAGGTTTGCGCGGACTTGGTCTTCACGTGGAGACGAGGCTCTTTGCCCAATAGCAAAGCATATTTTCTGCGATTGCTTTCGGCATCGAAAGCAGGCAACAAGTCCGCCGAGATTGGCCTCCTTGCAAGGAAGTGATGCCGTTCCTTCGCCCCTCCTACTCTGTGGACGACAACATGGCAAGGTCTGACGTGTCTGGCTTGATCGCGTGCTGCATTCATGACCAAGTTCTTCACTCCACTCGGTCCAATTCCTCCTGCCGAGACTCACTTCCAGAATCTGTGGGTCGTCGAAGAGCTGCTCCGTGGCAAACTGACAGATGCCAGGCAGCAGGCCAGAGAGCATCAGAATACCGACCTCGGCTGCATATGACCGTGTCACTATCAATATCAATCAAGACAAGCAAGGTAAGCGAGTTTTGGGACCCATGCAACCTACATGCTTCATGATTGCGTTGCAGAACGGTTTCCTGAAAGCAGACTGCAAGAGGTCCTCCAAGGTTCGACAGCGGAGGTCGCGAGACGAAGTCGTGACATGAGGTCGCTGAGTAGGTCGCATCGGGGTTGCTGGTGTCAGTCTTCGGGCCAGTTAACCATATCAAGTTGGGTAAACTCCCATAAAAAGATATGTTACGACAAATCTACCCTCAAGAGCATAAAACCTGCTCTTGCGGCTAGTATGTAAATGGCCTACATGAGTGCAAGGCGGGCTGCGACGTGCAAAAGCGGCGCAAAGCGCTGATTCGGGAATAAGGCACGGCGCGTGCCCATCTTCAACAGGAGGCCGATGTCCTGCGACCAAGCACACGTGCGGCCAGCATGAAAGATGGCGCGAATTCTATGCCCACATGGAACCTGATGGGATTAACGCCGGGTGTTTTGTGGTGTTTCATGCGGCACTCTGGGAGGCTCTGCGGAGTGTTAGAAGCTTTGAAAGCGAGTGTTTCGGCACGTCGGCAGGGATGCAAAGGGTGCCACCGAACACACATGGACGGTCTTGTGAGAGGCCGAGTGAGCTGGAGGGATAAGCAACTAAATAAGGAAATAAACAAAAAAACAAATATAATATATATATATGTATATATATATATATTATGTATGTATATATATATATAGATTCAGCACATGAGTTCCACAACTCTTCTTGCCGATCTGATTCCAGAAGTCAATGCCGGCTGCAAACTCTCATATTAGCGGCAACTATCGCGTGAGGTTGCACCGACCTCTCAGCACAAACGGAAGAGTCACAAGCAAGCACACTGATGGCGGTCAGGAATAGCTTACAAATAACTGGCAAACGTGCCTGACATGGACGTGCAGAGATCATCGCCATCATTGCACTCTGAGCATGCCGTTGAAGGACTTTAGAACAGGCTTCATCTGCTCATGTTTGGCTACTGAAAGGCTCATTGCTGAATCTAGTCGCTGTGTGTTGCCGGTTCAGTTTGTCGCATGTACACGCACTTGCATGGATGTGTACTTTTGTGTGTTGATGCGAATGCAGTGTGGCATTCTGGGCGCGTCGATGTATGCACGCATGTGCAGGCGCATATGGAATAGGCGTTTTTTCGACTACTTGTGGCTGCTACTGCTGCTCTTAGTACCAGCCCCAACATTGCCAAGGTAGTCTTGGGGCTCCAAAACAAGAAAAGCGCAGGAGGTTCGACAGTCCTCCCCGGCCAAACCACGTGCAAGGTAGGCCAGGCAGCTTCGGAAATTGGACCTGGAGAAAGCTGAGCCATCAATCTTGAGGTCGAGCCTAGAGCAGTCTGAAGATAACAAGTGTTGAAAGAGATTGATAAAAAGAAGGGAACCTCAAATAGACCCGAAACCGTAGGATCCTTCTTAAGAAGATCGCCAAATTCACCTCGTTTTTTCAAGACACTCACCTGAGGAGATCCTGAGATGAACTAGGGCATGCAGCTTACGTTCAGCTGGGTTTAGGTTTTTCGGTGCTCAACTGCAAGAATTTAAGAAGACTTCGGTGGCCGAAGTATACCAACTGCGGCTGGTGATGGGTTATGCTCTGATTATGATGAATCTGTTCACATAACATCGCTCTACTGCCTGGTTCTCGTATCATTGCGGGGCGAAGAGTCATCAGCAACATCATCACACCCCGAGTGCTCTAGACGCTAGTACCAGCTTCAATGTGTGCAATTAGCCCACCTTTCATCACGGCGATTGCAGAACTTCGTCAAGTAGTCCTGCAGTGGAGAATGTACAAAGCAAGGCTCATTCATTTCGAGTGTGCGGAAACAGCAGGGCCAATTATGCTCAGAGCTCCATGCCCCCGCAAACCATCGCTCTCATATTCTGAAGGCGCCTGCCATATGCTGCGTCCCGAGCCCTTGAAACAGCCTAAAACTTATACCCCTTCAAACCCAAACCCGAAGCTCTGGTCCCTCCCTAAACCAGACCCTGAAGCTCCTTGATGTTGATTTGCTCCAGATCCTCGTCTGCACTTGCGACAGTCTGGTGGAACTGCACCTCCGGCTTTATGGCTATGGTCCATGGTTTGGGGTTTGGGGCAGTTTGCGTTCCGCCCCTCGGCGGATTTGCGGCAGGGGAGGGTGGCTGCAGTTTTGGGGGAGGCTGCCGGAGTTGTGCATGCTATGCTCGGCCGTTCTTCCGAATCTTCTGCCGTCCTGACAACAATCCGTGAAAGTCCAAGATCTTGGGTCCTGTCAGCCTGCCATACACCTGGACCTGCTCCCAGGGCACTGTTGACTTGGAAGGCAGGTTGGCTTTCCATTTTTCAACTTGAGGCCCTGGGTTCCCGAGCCGCAAGCTGACAAACCCACAGCTTGAATCCCAAACCCCTATAGTTAGCTCAACGCTGACACGCAGTACCCGTGACCCTGAACCGAACCCTGCAGTGTAAACCCAAACCCTAAATCTAAACGACAAGCGTGGCCTTGGGTGACTCACACAGGCTGCGAAGGTTGAAGAAGTAGAGAAGGACGGTAGCACAGCTGCAGGCCTCTAAAACATCGGGGCTGCGTGAAAGCTTACTATGACATCTTGTTCGTGTAAGGTCAGCATTCCTGGTAGGTCTTGTCACGTGTTAGCGCCGTCTCGGGTCTGTCAGAATTGCGACTCCATCTTCTACACACCTATATGAGCACCGTTGTGAGCAACATAGACATAGTGGGAGATAGCTTCGTTTATACGGTGTCGTATGCACCACATGTCGATCTGGCTGCTTGGGGCCAAGGCTGAACATGTTGTGGCAGGGCTATAGGCTATAGCTGTCGAACAACTGTTGTGCGCTCGGGTCGGAATGGCCAAGCTTCTGTTTTCACTCTACGAAACGGCGCAAATGCGGCCTTGTCCCAGAACACTTTCATGTCACCCCAGTCGTTGACAGCCGAATCTGGAGATGGCTCCTGGCACGGCTTCCAGCTGGGCAAACTTTGAGCCTCTATTGCTCAAGGGCTTTGAAGTGCCGTTGCGGCGGCCGTCAGGTGTAGGGGTTCGCATGTCGGCCAGCTTCGGCCTTGCATGGAGCAAGGATGAAACCATAGCACATGGGTCCTGTTTCTTCGAATTCTGTCTCTCCGTGTAGATGACAAGCATGTACCTCAGTTCGCGAGCCCGTCCGCCCGACTTATTGGTACTGGTAGCATGTTGCCATTACTATTCTTATACCCCTCCTATTGTTATTGTTGTCAATATTGCTATTACCATCAATCTCGAATCGAAAGAAGACCCCCAGGAGAGACTTGGCAGAAGGGCGCAAGGCAATTAGTCAGAGATGTCAGCAACCCAGCAGCTCTTAGGACCGATCTGACCATCTTCAAAGCTTGTGATCCTGAAGCTACTGCCCTGCACTTTACGTTCTGCTTGTTGCTTGATGCAGGAAGCAGGCTAGCCACCTTATGTATCTTCTGACCCGTAACCCCGTAATTGCCCAAGAACTCCCCGGCTCAAGCCCAGCTTTGTGGCGGCCAGCGGCAGTGCGATCAGCACGAAGGTTAACATGATCAGCGCCATCCCGAGTCCTCGACATGGGGGGGGATTTCGGGGTTCCGGCTGTATGGGACTTTGATGATATTTCTCTTGAGGTCCCTACCAATCGTTGTTGGGAGGGTAGCGACAGCGATGGTTCCTTTCCCAACTAGTGGACACTTCTCATTCGAGCAACGTATCAACAAATCCAATGCCGACAGATTCCATCTGCTCTTAGAAGAACACATGCCAGTCACCACTGCTGCACAAATACATGCCAGCATGCCCATCCCTCCCCGGCCTGTGCGCTCCAGCTTGCCGCGCATGAAAACCAGCCGGAAGCCCCGGCTCCGTGCACTATCGATGGCCAGGCGGCGCAAGTAGTCCACGCCCATAAACCTGTTCTGCAGGTGAGGCCGGTGCAGTAATTATCAGAAGTGAACTCGGGAACTCGCGACTTTGAGGTTGAAGCAGATTCCGGCCCAGCCCGTCCGCATGCAGCCCTCAAAGCACCCAGGTTAAATACATAATTAGACAGCTCAAGAACCGAAAGAACGAGACCCAGGCACACGAGGCTTGAAAAGATCGCCGTGATGGAAATGGCGATGCTGGTGAGAAGGAGGAAATTGGGCGCCGACCAGTTGGCCCTCGGCTGGCTGGTGGACACGATCCTGGCAAGGAGCCGCGAAGACCAGCTTCACGATGCAATCTAGCATACGTAGGGGCCTTGAGAAGAATAGTACGATTGCTGTTCTTGAGGCAGGCTCTTGTATTGAGATGCATACATGAGAGAACTCTGGGAACAAGTGTTACGAGTTGTTCGGGCCCTTCTCTCTGCCCTGCTTCCAACAACTAACAAACTTCCCAATGGCCTGGCCACCACGATCTTCTGGAAGCCCACGAAGCCGAGGATGCCAGCTGCGTGGCTGGAGAGCGATGCGAAGATCGTGGTCAAGGTGTACCATGGCGGTGGCGTCCACTTGACGCCATCAGATCCTTACCAACCAAAAGTGCTAAGCAGGCTTCGAGGTCTGTTCAGGCTCCGATGGCTTGGGAAAGGTGTTCCGAGGTTCGGGCTCTTGCGGGTTGCTTTGACATCCCCGCGGTTGGTCTATGGATGGCCTGCAACCGCGGCACGGTCCTATCGTCACCTGGGCGGCACCGGTTGATCAGCCTTCCAAAGAGGGTCTTCCCAAGTTCCTGCACCCGCCCACCCTTCCGCAGTTGCGAAACGATGCATGTTGTTCAAAGGCCCAAGGATCACCGTGGTCGCAGAACCCCCACTGCATTTTAACAAGGAGGGGAATAGCCCTCACCGACTCGAAACAAGACTGGCAATAGCCGGCAAGAATACTTGCAACTGCAATTGGTGACTTGAGGCGGTTCCAACGATCCCCCAAACACAGGATCCCCCTTCGTGCCGTTGCAAGCATGGGCTAAAGTCTGAACCCAAAGGCCCTGTTGGTGTGACCATCTCAAAATTGAAAGTAAACTTCCAACCTGAGCCCAGACACCGACCTGCGAGGTGTCGCCCACAATCTGTGAAGGTTGCCAGGATGCCTGGGAAGGCACCAGTCGGAGGCTTTGGGTTCGAGGGATTCGGAATGGCCGACGTTTCATGTTTCGGGCAGGTGACCTCAAGCCTAGAGCTTCCGATGCCCTGGCACCCAAATGCAGCCAGGGCTCGATAACCAAGGCGATTGCGGCGGCCACCAGGAACCAAGCAATATCCAGCATCCTCTGGCATGGAGGCTTAAACGACTCAGTAAGGCTTTGAGGACCCCAGCTCAGCTGGGCTTATCCTACCTGCAACTCAAGCTCACTTGCCAAGTCCCCTGAACCTTCAAGTAGTGAAGAAGGCGCTCAGTTGGGGATATCTTGCTCAAGGTTGCGAGACTTTAGCCGAAGGAACATGAGGCAAAATACACAACAGCCTCTTCACGGAGCCCTGAAACTCGAAATGCGTAGCTGGATAAACTGAAAAACCTTCGAAGACCTTGCAAACGATTAAAGCCCGCAGGCTCAGGAAAACCTTCCCCAACAGCAATGGCTTAGTGTCCGTAGTCTTGGTTTTGTGGCGCCTTCTCCCTGCTCGACCAATTCTCCCGCTAAGCTCACCGCCTCAACATGAAATCTCACACGGGTCCAACCTAAGACACCCACAAAGGCGACCGGTAATCGAAACAAAAAAACCTACACCATCCTAGGCACCCCCACCCACAAAAAAAAGAAGTACTTGCTACCAGAGGGACCGCAAAAGGTCGGCAAGCTCACTGAAGAAGTCCTCAGCTGTATTGAAGCTTTTCCGAAACTCTGCTGCATAGGCGAAACCTCTGAAGAATTCATGGGGCCTTGCACTATCGAACCTCATTAACATCCTTTCGGGTGTGGAAAAGCGCTTGAAACCCCCCGTCTTTTGTGTCAAGACTGGAGTCCCCGCCAAGCGATGCCAAGCGTCACCCCAGGTGTCTGTGCTGCTGTCGGGCTTTGGCCTGCCCTGCCCCTGCCGCGGCTCATCCTCTCAAGCAAGCTTTTGGGATGGCCCGATCGGGCCTGGGGTCGGATTTTCAGAAAGGGTCTAGGGTTTAGGGTGTGACAAAGGTTATCACAAGATAATTGCAACATAGCATTCATGAAGCAAGAAGCACAATTCTCTCCTGTGTTTCGCATCTAAGCACAATTCTCTCCTATGTTTCGCATCTTGTTGGGAACCTCTCAACGGACACCTTGCTCGGTGTTTCCGGGGGATGCACGAGCCCATGCCCACAAACCTCGTGGCTTCCTCCCTTGTGCACAAGATTTGCTGTGGCAACCTTCTCCATGTTTGTCTTCAAAACTAGATGTATTAGGTCTGTTAGGTCAGACACCCGCCCGGTCTTCGGTTTGAATGTACGGACAATGATGCTTGGGTGCACTGGCAACGACGACAATTAGCAGGCGAAATCTCAAGAAGCAATCAATAAAACGAGCTGAACAACAGACCGATAACAATTGGGGCATCGTGAAGTCATAACTTTTAAGGCAGCCCCTGGCCCCACTCTTCTATGCATCTGCCTCCCAGGAGGCGGCACGGGCAGCAAAGCTCAAGTGCAGGCAAACACCCAGCACCTCATGGAGTTCTGGGCTTATAATAGGATTTAGGATGTGAGGCTGTCGGAGTCAGGAAGGGCAGGATTTCGGGTCCGGATTTGAGTCCGCTGGTTGCTTGTTTTTGTTCCTTTTTACGAAGGAAAGGAGGGGTCTGGGCTTTCCACTCCTGGTTATTGTACACGCGACGACAACTTGTAGAGATAGTGGTTTTTAAGTGTATCACAATGACACGGGACTTCGTCACAGTGACAACTGGAGGCCCTTCATGTACAAGGTTGGAGATGAAGGAAACGAGGGGTTCACATGTTGTCACGTAATAGCATTGCCAAATCGAGTTCTAACAGTCTTTCCCGATTGCATATTGAATGTATCATTCTCATATTGGTGATATTTTTGGCTTATGACTCCAGTGGGATGTTTACTGTGAGCGCGAGTGGGTGCATGGCTGACTGCTCCAACGCTTTTGTGGAACGCTTTGAACCCAGGAAAAAGGTCCAGAAAACGTTCCGAAAGCGTTCCAGCCCTAAATTCCAATGCCCCGCAGCCCGGAACCATTGCGCTCGTGGTTGGCAAAATGGAACAAGCGTGTCAGCAGTCAACAGCTCCCTCCGGTAGATTCAGGGGAAGATCTACGTCGTAAGACCCTTGCAATGGAACCTCAAACCCTGCCAGTAGAAGAGAATCCCCATCGTGTCGGCCCGAACAGCCCATTTCCGGAAGCACAAGACCTCCGCGACTTCTGCCATGCCAAATGCGCCAACAGCCGGAGCAGAGCCCAACTCTCGCCGAAAGCATTACGAAGAACTTCCACAATCAACATTAACAGTCATTAAGATTACATTTATCTCTCTATAGTATTGTTGCTATTGAGCTGTGAAGACAGTAGAATCAATAGAAAATGCAGACGTCGCAAATGCTTGTGCAGTTGTTGTGGCAACAACTGCTTCCCTTGAATTCGCTGCGAAAGTCTGCGAAAGTATAGCTTCCTGACAAGGGGATATCGAACATTGGGAAAGAGGTGCTGCCGAGCAGCCACAGGCAGGCCCAAGAGAAGATGCTGCCGCATCTTCAGGCTCAGGGACATGCCAGAGCCTGCCACTAGGGTGCACTCAGAGTGTGCTTAATCCTCCGCCTCCAAGATTAGAATACAAGCATCATGTACGCATGCCTGGCAGAACGGAGAAGGTAGGGCCATAGGGTTGAACACGCAGAGGTCAGAGCTCGGGGTTTAGAGTTCCCAAATGCCAGATCAATACCGGTCGGTCGTCCGGGGAATCCAAGAAGGGCTGCTCAGGAACGGCTACACATATATGTACAAACAGGACTTTAGAGTATTTAGAGTGGAATGACTTGCATGTTTCGGCCGTGGGGCTTCTACATACCAAGTCTTCAATCCTCATGGTTCAAGCTTGAAGAAGCCCTCTTCGGCATCCAGATCTCTGACCATACCTCACACACTGTGCGCAAAGGCGTACCACTCGCGGCTAAGTCATTATGGTCGCAGTATGCTCACAGAATTCAGGTTCGACACCAAAAGTGTTTGATTGTGCCGGAAGTCAATACAGATAGAAGGACCCCAGAAAGCGGAAAGCGCCAAACTAAACCCGACATCATCATTGCCGAAAGGCCTCCTCAAGTGCAACGCTTCAAGACTGACGGCGTGCACGGTATCATGGCAGGCTTGCACGGCCCATGAGGACCGTGGGTTTTGCCACATTCAGCCCCTCAACACCCAAAGCCACGCCGAGGGTTGAAAGGTCAGAGATGGGACAAAAATCATGGTGTGAACATAAAACGACCTCTCAGTAGGCACGTGCTTTTTTTAAGCACGTGTTGCACAACGCGCTAGCATGTATGCAACTGTCAGACTAGCAAACAACGGGCTCAAGCCAAAGTCGGCGGAAGGGAAACGATTTCAGGGGCAGATGCATGGTGCACGCCGAGCTGGCGTCATGACTGTCATGACTCTTCATTGCAAAACATGCTATCAAGATCTTGGACCCTGCTTACTCGCCGGCATCTTGACGTTGCTGCTCGCACTTGACGAACAACACACACCAAACCGTGGGTTTGATAGACGAACGAGAATCAGAGAATACTCGGCAACCGGCATGATTTCGAATGCAAGCGCCCTTGAGATCAAAGCCTGAAGACCCATTATTTGAACCGTCACGCCTGCTGGTTTGGAATACCTGGTTCGCAATACTGCGCATCTGCATCGTTGCCCGGTCAATTCCCTGACCCCGGGGCAGCACGGGCCTTTTCCGCCCGTCGCGCAAGTTCTGTAGTGGTCAATGGGAACGGGCACGGGCTGGAGGGGAGCTGCCTTTGAAGACGTGACGTTCTGAGTTGAGTGCCTTGAGGTTCCTATTTAAGGGGTGCCTCGAGGACGGCTTTGTGGGGCTTTCGTGTAAGGCTTTACGCTCTCACAGCTCGGACAAGCCAGGCGAGGGTTTCGGCGCCCACTGCCGGACCTGCCAGGCGAGGTTCTTAGTGCTTAGTCGGTTGGGGGTGAAACCTAAATCCGAGGCTGTTCGGCACAAGTCCTTTTGCAAAGTGATCAATCAGCCTCAGACATGTTTCACTTATCTGAGGCGAGGGTGTTCAGTTTTGGGGTTTGGATTCTCGCGACTCGGACAATGCAGGCGAGGCTGCGAGGCTGATCCAGGTGGACATGGGGAGGATTGTTCAAGTGGAGGTCTGATGACAGGCCGCCTCGTCAGGAATGGAAGTACGACTCAAGCGACGGAGTAGCTCGGTCTTCGTCTCCTGTCGTCAAAGGCTGGCTCCGCTTGTCCGTGAAACTATGGTCACTATGGTCCTGAGCATCAACTGAAGGACCAAGATTGCTGTTGTTGTCACTTCCTTCGTACTAAGTAAGAAACTTGGACTGCAGCCTGCCCCGTTTTCCTAAAATAGAAGTCAGAAAGTTGGACATCATCATCCATGTGCCTTTAAAGTACAGCATGGAGAACGCCAAGTAGAGTCTAGCAGTGTATACCAGCACTTGTCATGTTCTAGCTTTTTAGAGTTGACTGTGCTTTCTAAGTACATGACCAAGCTCGGCCGAGGGCAGCCGCCGACGAGGATGCCAGCTAGTGCCGTTTTCCCTTATGTGCAGGTTGCTCCTGAGATTATTCTAGGATCCCTCTACAACTTGTCCTTCAATGTGGGGCAGCTCTCGAAGAATATGCTGAAGCCAGGCTCAGCACGTAGCTTAGAGTGTTGGGATCATGCCTTTGCATCATCCTCAATGCCACAAACCCCAAACAACCTCTCGAATCCTGACCAAACTCCTTTCAAAACAAGGAAACCTTGGGTCTATGCGCACATGAGCCTTCGCGCCTGCACTCTGTACTCTGTCCTTGCACTCTGGACCCCGCGTCAGGAGCCCAAAAGTGCTGACCCTAAACCCCGGCAAACCAAACCCCAAAATCTCTTCCCCGATCCGAAACTAGAGTAAACCCAAGGAACTCCTTGCCCGCAAATCCAAAATCACGACTCAAAAACCTCAACAATCCTAAAACCGCTTAGCCGCCAGCACCCGGACCTCTCAGCGTCCACTAGTGCTCAGTGTTCCGACCTCGCAGCTTCGAAACACACGGTCTGCCCTCGGGGCTCCGTTAGAGCGCTTGTATACGGATTTGCCACTTAACGCTTTCCGAGAGTCGCATGGGCAGTTCATCCGCTGGCAACACATCACACATCGGCTGGTTTGCAGAGGACTCGTCGAGGAGACCACGAGGACAGCACCCAGGAGAAAAAAAAACAGCAGGAGGCCCAACGAGATAACCACGCAAACGGAACCAGCCACGCCGACGATGCGAGTTTCATCTGCTTCAAGGCGGTACCCGATCCTTCAAAAAGCTCTCGTCCTTACACGGACCACGGAGGAGGGATACCTGAGGTTCGAAACGAGACCAAGGCTGGAGCCCACAACTCCCGATAAAGTAGCCGACGACATGTCCGGCCTCTCACTCGAAGGCACATCCTCGAATCCGCAAACTGCCAGCTTCGAGCTGGGGTCGAGGCCGATGTCCACCTGCTCAGCTGCAGCGATGCAAGGGGAGGGGTACGACTCCAGAGCATAGCGCTCGGATCGCTACAGCCGTGGATACATACACAGGGGCTGCGTGCAGGAGGATTGTGCTTTGGCTTCGTGGCCGACACATCGAACCGGAAGGAGACTTGGGGATGTGGAAGGAATGATCACAGTAGTTGGGCCTTTCAGCTCACATGCTCACTAACACTAATGCCGCACTAATAACGCTTACCTGCCTTCAACAAGCCCACATAGTCTCGGAGAAGGCACTCTCATTTTGCAAGTTTATCTTATCTGCCCGACTTTAAGGTGACAACACCAAGCCCTGCAAGGCTGTCCAAAACGGTAACCTGATGTAACATAATGACATCGATGTTCCGCACTCATCCCGGGAACTGTCCAAATGCCACATGGCATGAAACACCCTAAACTCGCTCGGGGACACTGATGCTACTGGAGCTGGCATCAGCCCAGAGTCAGGAACCAAGTTTTTCAGGAGCATCACGACACCTTCCCGATGCTACCTAGCCGGACACCGTGAATATCGAGGCCTTCCCTCAAGACTTCTCTTGTAGCCACCAAGCTGCACGACGTCGTCACAACTTCCCGAGCGGCAGAGCTCGACTCAGCTCTGCACGAAAGCTGAGATTAATGGATGACTGGTTACCAATTTTGCCCGGAGCTCAGCCGGGAGGTGGTTCAGTTGTCTCTTCTGCCTGCCTAACCAAGTATAGCTACGTTCTTCGAGCCTTGTTTGCGGCAGCCTTCCATGCACCTCCACGAAGTCAAGCAGGCTGTGGAACTGACGACTCCACCTTGCCCTCTGGACTTGGACCTTCCGTGTTCGCCTGGACTTCACCCAGTCCGAAACGATGGGGTCGACTTTCTCCAACAGCTGCAAGCGCCTCTGGTAGTTCCCCTTGGCAGGATCGGCAAGTCGAAATAGGCTTCTCAACAATCGCAACTCGGCTGTTGTGCGGCCTTTTCTGTTGTCGGGCATGCGATTATGCTTGCGAACGAACCGCCGCAACTCCTCTAACCATGCCTTAACAAAGGCATTTGGTTCCAGCCACCGTGCAGCTCGGGCCCGCAACCTGCTAGATGACGAATTCAACAGCTTCTGCACCCTGCCGCCTGAAAGCATCTGCTGCTTCTGCCTGTAGCCAACATTGTGCAGCCACTGTCCCAGAGTTCTCTCCTCAAGCTGGCTGCTGATTTGCCTCGGCAGCATGCCATGTTCTCGGTCGAACTTCTCGACAGCCTGCAAGCGCAGATCCCATGCATCGTTCTGCTGCAGGATCAACGCCAGCTGGTAGAGCACATCTCGAGCAAGTAGCTGCTGCATGGCTGGCTGCTGCAGCCTGCAGTCCGTCACCCAAAGACGAGACTGCAACACCCTGATGTCCTTGTCGGAAAACCGACTGTCCGCCTGAGCTATCGCTCCCAAAAATCTGTCCAGCTGGTCTGCATGACCGCTTCCAAACATCTCAGCGACATCTCCAAGCTTCACCTTCAGCTTGGAGGCTCGACGGCGCGTCAAACTTCTCGGACCCTCTTCCTTGGATTCCATGGACGCTTCCGCACCGGCGACGTGTTGTCGAGGCACCACTTCGGCTGGCTTGGCGCCGGGCGCAGCCTCCAAGGCAGCAGCACTTGCCACAGGCAGCTGAGAAGCAAGTTCGCGAGGCAGAGGTAAGGGTGGCCTTCGGTCGTCACCGGCACCGTCAAGTCGTAGTCAGACAGCACCCCCTGCTCGATCGCCTCGCCCAAACTGTACCGAAAATCCACGTCCTCTTTATGCGTGGCCGAGAACTTGAAAAGATCTTTGCTGCTCGGCATTCCTTGTGGCAAAGGGTGATGGCCTTCATCGACAAAACACGCCTCGAACGCCAGGTTCTTCAGCAGCTGCACCGAGTCAGTCACTGAAATGAAACCTCTGCATGAAAAGTCGATCTTGTCGTTGTAGCCTGTGCCCACCTTGCAGAAGCCGGGCATCTCCTCGGCGAACTGCTCCAGAAGCACACGTGATGGGACCGTGACCAAGACCTAAGCACAAAAGCTGCAAGACAGGCGGCGGCATGACTGCGCTTGATCCCTGGCATTCAAACCACATCATACTACGAACATGACGAGTGCTCCCTTCCTGCCTTCCCCGTCTGCTTGGTCGCCAGCTCGCGGATGACGCGCGTCTTCCCGGTGCCGCAGGCCATCTCGATGACCCGGGCCCCCTCAGCACACGCCTCCAGGCACGCCTCCTGGCAAGGCCGCAGCGGTGGGTCCGACGACTCTTCAGCTAAAGCCTGACCAGACGTCAGGACGGAAGCGGCAGCAGCGTCGCAGCACAGCTGGCGCAATCTCTTCTTGGTCAGGATCTTCCGCTGACCGCCGCATTCTTTCAGCCACCTCTGGGAGTCGGCAGAGACGTTGCAGCCGCGGTCCGTCCAGAGTGTACAGCAAGGAGCGTGCGTGCGCACACAACACTTTGAATCCATCTTGCTGGCCGCCGTGACCTGGGTACAGCTACAGCTACAGTACCCTTCCGGCTCACCCACCTCAAAGAGGCAGTTGGCCGTTCGCAGGAACCGCTTCACATCCCTGCCCGTGGACTTCCCCGCCCGGCAAAGAATCGCCTGCTGGCCGTCCAAGCAGAAGATGTCCACTCCTTCCACCAGCAGGGATGGCAGGAAGGTTTGGGACATCAGAGATACAGCAGGCCTAGGCGCCGACGGGTGAAGTTGTGCCGCTCGAAGGACCAGGGAGGCAACGCCTCTCCGTGAAAAACTGGAAACGAAATCAGCCAACGCTCCGTTCGCTAACCCCTCATATAGGACTTTGAATTCCGAAAGAACGATGCAATCAGCTTGCAGCTTCAGTGTTACCCTTCTCACTCCTGCGTGGGTACAGCGTCGAACTCCAGCACGGCGGCCCAGACCAGCCGCTGCTCATCCTCCAGGAACGGCCACGCCAAAGCCTGCGAGTTCAGGTTGGAAGCTCAGTTGGCCTTACGAATCTTAAGGTTGCTGCAACTGCAACTAGTATGAGCGGCGACCGATGATCAACACTAGTACGACCAACACTTTAAGGCCAATGCTAGTATGATCACCAATGTAAAAGCAGAGAAGTGTACACTAGTTGTACATCCTGTGACGACACTTGCATCCCCTAAACCCTTCTTTCAAGAGGCTTCCCACTTTGCCCAAACCCTAATTCCAAACAAAAACCATTTTTAAAAAAAATGTTTCCAGCCGCCTCGCGGGCCAGGCCCTGGAGCCTTTCCATGAAGGCCGCGTCGCGACCTCGTTTCGCGGCTTTTTCGAGTGCCCGTTGTTGGGAGATATCGGGGAAAGGACATGAAGGCTCAGGGTTGGGGGGGTGTTTTTGTCAGGTTCAGGGTTTGGGGTCTAGGGCTTGGTAGATGCACGGCACCCCCCAATCGATATTAAGACATTAGGCCTTCCTACCCTACACTGTACAAAGTTCTGCATTATGAGGGTGTTTGGGGGTTATATTACTTGACTAAGGGTACCTAAAGGCACTCCTATCATCTGCATTGATTAAATTAAGGTCATGTGGATAGGGTTGACCACTGTAAGGTCTCATGGTTGGCCCTACAGTTGCCTGATAAGACCTATATATAAGAACGAGCACTGGGAGCTGCTGGTCCACATGCACATGATAAATTGCAGGTTTACATCCAAGCAGACAGGGAGAGGGAGAGAGAGAGAGAGTGTGTGTGTGTGTGTGATAAAAATCATCGATGCATCAGTCCAGTCTGTCTGCGTGCTTTTTCTGCACATAGGCCTATGCAACCGTATGTGCTAAACCGTCAAAGAAGTTCCTTGCCCGGATCTCAGCTTCACAGCCCCGAGCGGCAACCTGAGATCCCAAAAAGGCCTCTAAGACTCTAGGCTTCACTCCAGAACTTTAAGATGCCGGGTTACTCTCGTCGGAGCTCGCAGCTGCGGGACGCCTCGTCCTCCGGGGGACCCCACGGCAAACAAAATCTGCAGGAAGCGGCTTGTGGCTCTCGTAGTCAGACATATCCTCTACCCTAGGCCCTAGGCCCTACGCCATCCTGGTGCTCGGCGGTCCTTGGCGGCTTCTGCCCTCTGAAGCCAGGCCGGTGCACGAAGAGGGCAGTGCCCAGCAGCATCCGCAGAAAGAGTCCATAAAGCAGCACCGCAACCAGTTTTCTGCCGCCTTCGCTGGCCCTTCTGAATTTCGGGACCCGGGCCCCCTGCATCCTCCGCTGGCTGCAAGAAGCTCTCTCAAGTGCAGACCTCCCTGGCCGCTGAACATCGGAATTCCACTCGGAGCAGGCTGCAGCCCTGAGCCCGCCGGCTGCAGAACAACGCCAGCTGCTAACATGTTTTGGCCAATGTAGACACCTGATCAATGGGAAAATTGGGAAGCAGAAAGTGGCTCCGAATAGCGTGGCCCTTGAAGCAGTAGCTTTATCATGGTGAGTGCTGAACATCGTGTTGTGTCGCAGCTTTGAGAAATCGATCTTGGTGAAGTCCCGGCACCATGAGAGGCATATCTACGGCGGTAGATACGGTAAGTGGGTTCTCCTACCTACAACCTACTTTTTCAATCTTTTTCATACTACGCTTACTAAACGCCCTGACCCTTGAAGCACTCTCCCACGACCTGGCCTAGTCTTCGTTTCAGCATCCACGGCAAAGCTGGCGGCGGTGGGACGTCGTCGGCCCTCACAAAGGACAAAAACCGTTTCACAAGACAGCAAAACTACCGACCAGCGGCAAAGGCAAGTTCATTCTAGCTTCTGCACAGTTCTAGGAATCTGACAAGAAGCCTGTGCGGCTCCACAACTCGGACCGGGGACCTATGCCATGCCTACGCCCAATCTGGGACTCTCCAGAGTCGGCAGTTGAGAACTGAAAGAAGAGAGAGACTTCCACCCAGCGCACCATCCCAGCTGCCACTTCCTTACCCCGGAGGAACACTAGAAGCAACTCTTGCAAATCGACAGCGAATCTACCGTTCCCTTCATTTCAGAGGGCTAGGGACCATGCCAAGAGACCCGACAGAAAAGCCAACCACGCTAAACCCTGAAGCCTAACGTGAAACCCTTACTAACAAATCCCTTCGTTCAAGGGGCCCTAACATCAGAATCTCTATCAGAACCCCTGGCTTGCAATTTAAAGGGAAGGTATTCAGGTATTCTAAAACGTGCTAACGTGGTATTGGGAAGGATTACTGAATGCGAGGCTGACAAGCCGCCTCTTCAGGGATGGAAGTGTGACTCAAGCGGCGGAGTAGCTCGGTCTTCGTCGCCTGCCGTCAAAAAGCGGCGGCTTCGTGCCGATAATCCGTGAACACATTGCTCTGAGCATCCCAGAGCTTCGTCTGAAACTTAGACTTAACGCTCATTCAGGGGGCCTGCCCCATTTATCATCCTAGAGTAGCAGCCACAAAGTTGTAACATCATCCTCCTTGTGACCTAAGGCACAACCTAGAGAACCCCGGCACTTATCATCCCGTGCTCCAATTTCGTAGAGCTTGTTGTCTTGCTGCGACGAGGATCCCGGCGAGAACAAGTTCCTGTAAGTAAAGAACGTACCTTGCATCATGATAGGAACCCTCTCCAACTCTAACCTCACGTGTAGACCTTGATTGGTTACGGGTATTGAGCTCTCTAGGAAAACGGCCATAGTAAGGCAAGGAGACGCTCAGGACCTGGCATAGAAATGCATAGAAGAAGGTTAGGGGGGCTTTCCAGCGATTCCGCGCAGCGACCTTTTGACGCCTGACAAGCTCCATCTGGAACAACTAACTAAAGGTTGGGTTATGCTCGCATGAGCCTTCAAGCCTGCACCCTGTCCCCAAAGTCTGACAAAAACCCAACAAAAGCAGACCCTAAACCCCAGCACTCCAAACCCAACACCCCACAAACAACCCCCAAACCCCAAAGAAAACCCAAAGACTCCTACACGGCAAATCCGAAAAAGCACGACCCAAACACTTTTTTTCACAAGGGACTCGACTGCTGCCCTGACTGCCCAGCTTGACCCACAAGACAGCACTCATGACTGTGATGCGAGACTGGCCACTTCGCGGCTCCAAGCTTCAGGCACAACTTGATACGATACGACTTTCTGATATTGCGCATATAACTTGAGAGTGACATCATACAAAGTATGCTCAAAGAGATCAATCAAAGGTATCTTGCGAGAAGAGAACCTGAAAGGAAAGCCAACTGCCTACATAGCGCACGACCCAAACACTAAGCTCGAAATCCTGAAACTTTCCTGAGGCAAAACCTTGCACCGGGCCTCTCATCCAGTAGTACTTGTTGGCCCTACCTCGGAGGTTCGAAACGAGTACGGGGGGCTTTACGGAGTGGTCTAATAAGGCCTGCTTAAGGTTTTGTGCCACAGGCTGTGAGAAGTTTCTGGGCTCTTGGTGATTTCTAGAGGGCTCGGGCCCTAATCAGTTAATCCGCTGGCAACGCATGGGCAGGCTTGCACGTTCTGCGTGCCAGACATGGGATGATGACCTGCTGCTTGCAAGCATGGGTGTGCAGATCTGCGAAAGCGGCAGACAGCACGGCAAGGACTCACCAAAACGTGCAACAGACTAAGACCGTCCGGGGATGTCTCAGCCTTACCATCCGACATTAAACCTCTGACGACCTGCCAAAGTCACCAGCACAAACACGATGGACCCACAAGATTAGGAAGATTAGAGCAAAAATCAACGCTGGGTATCTAAATCCTAAACCCGAGTTCTCCATATCCTAACAGCCCTACTTAGAGTCTTCAGTGACTTAGAAAGTAGGTGAGTGATATTTAGGGGTTGTAAGAACCCTTTTTTGACGACCACGACAAGCAAGAGAGGGACCACGACGACACCACCAAGGACCAAGGAGAGGAAACCCCCAGGAGACCACAAGGAGGCCAGCAGGAGACCACCAAGCACAAATGGAAATCACCAGGCCGACAATACAAGTTTCATCTGAGTAGGTCTGCACCTTCTGAGTGAAAACTCTCTCGTCTACACATCCCATCCGCCTGCTGCCCGGATGCAAGGGGTCGAGGATGATGAGGATGATGTCTACCTACCGAGCTGCAGCGACGCAAGGCGAACCACAGAAACACAGCATCAAAGACTCTAACACTCATGTCGTCTTGCCCAGGGCAATCCCTTGTCTTTTCAGGGGGGACGCTTTCAATTATATCCCTTGTGGCGGTAACATGGCAACCCGAAAGAAGCCTTAGGCAAGCTGATCAAAGCAGTACTTCTCCCTGGCACTGCTGATTTTGCACGAGTCCAGAGGCCAAATTGAAAATTGCCCAAAGCACCCTAATGTCCTAAAGCCGTTGTGGGAACTATGGCCATGTCATGTGCAGGCTGAACATGGTGTAGCCGTACAGTGCTGCAGTTTTCTGGCATAGATCCAAAGTCAGCAAGGACTTTTACAAGAGCATGCAACCTCCCTGACACCGTCAGCACAAAGGCCCTCTGGAGGCAGCAGACCGCAATCCGTCTTCGCAGCTTCAGCCGCAACTTCCCCCAAGGCTGAGCTCGACTCAACTCTGCAGGAAAGCTGCGATTACTGGATGACGGTCAAGCAACTTTGCCTGGAGCTGGTCCGGAAGGTAGTTCAGTTGTCTCCGCTGTTTGCATAACCAACTATAGAGACCTCGTTCGAGCCTGTTTTGCGGCAGCCTTCCGTGCACCTCCACGAAGTCAAGCAGGCTGTCGAACTGACGATTCCACTTTGCCTTCTGGACTTGGCGCTTCCGTGTTCGCCTGGTCTCCACCCAATCCGAAACGACGGGGCCAACTTTCTCCAACAGCTGCAAGCGTCTCTCGTAGATCCTGAAGGAAGGATCCACAAATCGAAGCATGCTTTTCATCAATCGCAGCTCGGCTTTTGAACCGCCCTTTCTGTTGTCGGGCATGCGATTGTGCTCGCGAACGAACCGCCGCAACTCCTCTAGGCATGCCATAAAAAAGATATCTGGCTCCAGCAACGTTGCAGCTCGGGCTCTCAACCTGCTAGATGACGAATTCAACAGCTTCTGCATCCTTTCGGCTGAGAGCATCTGCTGCTTTTGCCTGTGGCCAACATAGTGCAGCCAGTGTCCCAGAGATCTCTCCTCGAGCTGCTTGCCTTGTGGACTCGGCAGCCTTGCGTGATCTTGGTCGAACTTCTCGACCGCTTGCAAGCGCAGATCCCATGCATCGTTCTGCTGCAGGATCGACGCCAGCTGGTAGAGCACATCTCGAGCAAGTAGCTGCTGCATGGCTGGCTGCGGCAGCCTGCAGTCCGTCACCCAAAGACGAGACTGCAACACCCTGATGTCCTGGTTGGCAAACCGACTGTCCGCCTGAGCTATCGCTCCCAAAAATCTGTCCAGCTGGTCTGCATGACCGCTTCCAAACATCTCAGCGACATCTCCAAGCTTCACCTTCAGCTTGGAGGCTCGACGGCGCGTCAAACTTCTCGGACCCTCTTCCTTGGATTCCATGGACGCTTCCGCACCGGCGACGTGTTGTCGAGGCACCACTTCGGCTGGCTTGTTGCCGGGCGCAGCCTCCAAGGCAGTAGCACTTGCCACAGGCAGCTGCCGTGAAGGACTTCCCATCTGCACGAGGAGTGCCTCCGGCTGAGAGGCTGTGGCGGGCGGCATCACGGATGCAGGCCGGGCAGGATGCGTTTGAAGCCCAGCCTCTTCATCCTTCGACCACCCGCCATGGGAGCTGGGACCCCTGAACTCTGCCCCATTGGCAGAGTCACTTTGGCAGCCTGCTGTGGAAGAAGCGGCCTGCAGCCCAGTCGGATCCCTGCGACCCTCAGCTCGGAGCCCTGCAGACGCAGGCCCTGCACCGCTCTCTCTCCTCTTCTGTGCAGGGGCGCTTGGTCTTCGGGCTCCTCCAAACTTGCCCTCTGCCGCAGCATCCCATGAAGCCTTCGTCGGCTTCGTCATCTTGCCGGCACCGCCGACACGCGCCAGCTTGCATGCTTTAAGCGCCGTGGCCTCTAGGGCTAGGGCCGTCGTGCTTGCAGGTATCAGCGCTGCAGATGCACCCAGGCTGTCCAATTCGTCTTGCAACGGTAGCGATGATTGGCATCGGCCACGCTCTGTCTCGTGGTGGTCGTGGTTGTTACAGCGGTTGTTCGCATTCGTCCGTAGGCGGGAACTTCCGCTGCCTAAGGCTGTGTTCGCAGCAGGGGGCACCTCATCACTGCCAGCAAACCTTGAAGTTTCCGATGTCTGCTTGGCTAGCTGACGACCGCGAGAATTCTTGCTGCCGTTCCTGGCTACGGCACCCACAGCTGCCCGAACCCGTGGTGCATCCACGCTGCCCGGATCCAGCTGGATGCCGTCTGATTGCGTGGACTGGACATGATCCACAGAGCCCGCCGTTCTAGCTATGGACTGGGCACCCCCTGCCGGATGGCTCAAACCAGGCGGAGCCATCGCAGCTCCGCTCGTCGTCGCCGGCAGTGCAATCGCAGGCAACACGACGTGAGCCATGGGCTTCGACAGATGAGGCCGCAGTACACGACCCATTGCTTGAACGATGCTGACATAGCTACTGCGTGGCTCCACGAACATGCAGGTGTCGGCGTTCGGAATGTTAACGCCCTCGCCGAGAACCTGGACCGTTACCAGCACATGCACAGGCTTCTGCAGTTCACCCGAAAAGTCGCTCATCACTCTCTCTCGCTCGATGCGGTTTGTCTTGCCGTTGATATGCCATGCCGCCAACCCAATCGTTTCCAGCACCTGCTGGAATCGCCTGGCTTCTGCTATAGAGTTGCAGTAGGCGAGCACACGGCGAAATCGCCCAGCTTGCGACAGAAGCAAGTTCGCGAGGCAGAGGTAAGGGTGGCCTTCGGTCGTCACGGGCACCGTCAAGTCGTAGTCAGACAGCACCCCCTGCTCGATCGCCTCGCCCAAACTGTACCGAAAGTCCACATCCTCCTTATGCGTAGCCGAGAACTTGAAAAGATCTTTGCAGCTCGGCATTCCTTGTGGCAAAGGGTGATGGCCTTCATCGACAAAACACGCCTCGAACGTCAAGTGCTTCAGCAGCTGCACCGAGTCAGTCACTGAAATGAAACCTCTGCATGAAAAGTCGATCTTGTCGTTGTAGCCTGTGCCCACCTTGCAGAAGCCGGGCATCTCCTCGGCGAACTGCTCCAGAAGCACACGTGAAGGAACGGTGACCAAGACCTGAGCACAAAAGCTGCAATACATGCGGCGACATGACTGCGTTTGATGCCTGTCATTGAACCTGCATCATACTACGAACATGACGAGTGCTCCTTTCCTGCCTTCCCCGTCTGCTTGGTCGTCAGCTCGCGGATGACGCGCGTCTTCCCAGTGCCGCAGGCCATCTCGATGACCCGGGCTCCCTTGGCGCACGCCTCCAGGCACGCCTCCTGGCAAAGCCGCAGCGGTGGGTGCGACGACTCTTCAGCTAAAGCCTGACCAGACGTCAGGACTAAAGCGGCGGCAGCGTCGCAGCACAGGTGGCGCAATCTCTTCTTGGTCAGGATCTTCCGCTGACCGCCGTATTCTTTCAGCCAGCTTTCGGAGTCGGCAGAGACGTTGCAGCCGCGTTCCGTCCAGAGTGTACAGCAAGGAGCCTGCGTGCACACGCAACACTTTGAAAGCACCTCGCCGGGCCAGGGTGACCTGGGCCGTGAGCGCTACCTTTCCGGCTCACCCACCTCGAAGAGGCAGTTGGCTGTTCGCAGGAACCGCTTCACATCCCTGCCGGTGGCATTCCCCGCCCGGCAAAGAATCGCCTGCTGGCCGTCCAAGCTGAAGAGGTCCACTCCTTCCACCAACAGGGGAGGAGCAGCTACAAGTGAACATGGCAGGAAGGTTGGGGACATCAGAGCTACAGCAGGCCTAGGCGCCGATGTGTGAAGTTGTGCCGCTCGAAGAACCAGGGAGGCAACGCCTCTCGGCGAAAAACTGGAAACGAGATCTGTCAAAGCTCCGTTCGCCAACCCCTCACTTAGGACTTTGAATCGAATTCCGAAAGAAAACCCAAACCTTTTGAAGCTTCACTGTTCCCTCGTCACTCCTGTGTAGGCACTGCGTCGAACTCCAACACCGCAGCCCAGACCAGTCGCTGCTCATCCTCCAGGAACGGCCACGCCAAAGCCTGTGAGTTCGGGTTGGCAGCTCAGTCCGCCTAACGAATCTCAAGGTTGCTGCGCCAGTCAGGTCGTAACACGCTTTCCAACGCAAACTTGGAATCACAATCCAGCTGAAGCTCTCACAGCAGTTGCCCGCGAATAACAACACAGAAGCTCCGTCCTTCCGGGAATAATCAGACAGAGGTGGGACATTGTGAGAATTACAATTCTTCGTCGTAAGGTTCGGCAATACATTGGTATTAAAGCTGGTATGACCAGTGCTTTATAAGATTAACACTTGCAAGGTCAGAATTTCAAAGCAAGCACCAGTATGATCAATACTTCGAAGCTGACACTAGCTAGCATGACAACATCTCGAAAAGAAACACTTGTTTTTGTTGATGATCCACCGGCTGATAAGACTGACAGGCAAACCCGCCCCCCCCATAATCAAAAAAATGTTTCCAGGGCGGCACACCTCGCGGGCAAGGCCCTGGAGCCTTTCCATGAAGGCCGCGTCGCGACCTCTGCTACTGCGGTTTCTACAGGGATTCGGGCTGCGGCCTAGATATGATGAACTATTACAATCTGTCTTAAGGCGCGATGCCTGTGTACCCACAACCCTCAGCAATCTATAATCATCTGCTTGGGTCCGTTGTGAGGATACGCGAAAAAGTACCTCAGGCATCGCTATCATCTGCATTTATCAAGATTAAAGTCATGGGTAGGGAGAAGTCACCACTACCACTGTAAGGTCCCATGGCTGGCCTTACAGCTGCCGGCTGGGATTTGATGGATGTGTACTGCACATGCACATGACTGAATTCAAGCGGGCATGCAGGCGCACATCCATGCGGACATGTATGTCTGCACAAGATGCTTGCATATGTATTATAAAACTATAGCGAGAAGAGAAACAAAGAGACAGAGCGAGGGTAAATTCATCGTGCACCCGAGTCGCAGGCGGAGATCCCAAAAAGGCCTCTAAGACTGGAAGACTAAGACCGAAATTCACTCCGAAACTTCACGATGCCGGGTTGCTCTCGTCCGAGCTTGCAGCAGCAGGGCGCCTCGTCCTCCGACAAACTTCGGTCGAGTGATAATCTGACTGCAAGGCGCAGACAAGACCCACAACACTGTAGGGAGCAGAATGTGGCTTCATGCTGACACCTCGGATCCCCCAATGCCTACAGCATCCCAGTGCTCGCAGGTCCTTGATGGCTCCTGCCCTCCGAAGCCAGGCCGGTGCACGAACAGGGAAGTGGCCGGCAGCATTCGCAGAAAGAGTCCACAGAGCAGTGCCGCAACCAGTTGTCTGCCGCCTCTGCTGGCCCTTCTGAATTTCGGGACCCGGGCCCCCTGCATCCTCTGCTGGCTGCAAGAAGCTCTCTCAAGTGCAGGCCTCTCCCTGGCCGCTGAATCATCGGAATTCCACTTGGAGCAGGCTGCAGCCCTGAGCCCGCCGGCTGCGGAAAAAACCCGGAAATCGGCCAGCTACCAACAAGAACTAGCCAATGTAGACACCTGATCAACAAAGACAGTTGGGAAGCGTAAAGTGGCTCCGAATAGCGAGGCCCTTTGAAGCATTATCATTATTATGGTGTGAGTGTTGGCCATCGAGCTGTGTCGCAGCTTTGAGAAGTCAACCCCAGTGAAGCCCCGGCACCATGAGAGACATATCCACGGCGGTAGATGCAGCAAGTGGGTTCTCCTACCTACGACCTACTTTTTCATAATACGCTTACTAGGTTACAAAACGCCCCGACCCTTGAAGCACTCTCCCACGACCTGGCCTAATCTTCGTTTCAGCACCAAAGCTTGGGCCGGTGGGACGTCGTCGGCCCTCACAGAGGACTCTACTTTTTCACAAGACAGCGAATTTACCGATCAGCCGCAAAGGCAAGTTCGCTCTAGCTTCGGCTCAGCTCTTAGGAATCTGCGACTTTCCACAGGCAGAAGCAGCAAGTTGAGAACTGCAAGAAGAGAGAATTCGACCCGTTGGATGTGGTGCTGAAAGTATCGAATCGCACTTGCTGCAGGCTTTGTCAGAGGTTAGAGGTTGGTGCCTGCCGGCTGTGGTGGGAAAGCTTCTCATCTGACGCATGCCATCCCAGCATCGACTCCCCTCCCCGGGAGGCTTTAACGCCCAACACAAGACGGAGAGGCCGGCCACCCTAAACCCTAAAGCCTGATGCAGAACCCTGGTCAAGAAATCTTTCGCTCAAGCTTCGAGGGCCTTCACTGTTAGATCTGAGCAAGAATCCCCCATGCATCACGACGCTTGCAAGACGTAGTTCCACGCTCGAAGCTGATGTTGGGGAGCTTTGCTCAAGGGATGATTCAAGAGAGGCCGCCTCTTCAGGGATTGACTCAAGCGACGGCGTGGCTCGGTCTTCTTCTCCTGTCGTCAAAGAGCGGCGGCTTCGTTCCACTAATCCGTGACACTATTGTTCTAAGCATCCCAAAGCTTCCACGCAGCATATTTCCCGTTCCTTATCAAGATTGCTTGTGCTGTCACCTTGCAAGGCACTTGGGCTTAACCCCAATTCAGGTTAAATGCCCCAGTTATAATCCTAGCTCTAGCAGCCAGATGGTTGTAACATCATCCTCCTTCTGCCCTAAAGCACAGCACACGGAACTTCAAGCAGAGTATAGTTGACCCCAGCACTTGTCATCCCAGGTTCCAGCATTGCTAGAGTTGATTGCACTTACCAAGCAAATGGCAAATCTCGGCCCATAGGGCAGCAGCCGACGAGATCCGAAATCTACTTGTTCATGGTGTACGTTCGCCAAACATCGCAGCCGCCGAAAGAATAGTAGCGGTACATCCAACTAGTGCCAGGCGAACCCCAAAGCCACACAGAGCCTACAGCTTCGACATTTGCGCACCAAAGCGAACAGAGCTGTGCTTCGGGGCGCTTCTTTTGTCTACCGCCTCGCCAGGTATTTGGTTGAAGCACTGAGAACCAAACAGGGTCATGAGCCTGCTGACCGTCTTGAGCCGCGCATCTCATACTAGGACCTCTGCCTGCCTAACCCACTTCTGGAAGCAGCCGCTGGGCATAGCAGTTACCCTCCAGGTGGCACAGGCATTGCACACCAAAGCCCACCGCTTGCAATCCGAATGGCTGGTAGTAGATGTAAGCAATGAAGCAGCCCGTGGCAAGGAGAGACACGACCAAGGCCCCAAAAGACTGCACCACCCCGCGCTCGCGGCTCGGCGCTGAGACGGCCTCGAAGCGGTGCATCACGAGAATCTCGAAGCTTTGGCCCAGCAAGGAACTGTGGATCATGTTGTCCACCTCAATGAGGAACCCCAAAGCAGTGCTATTAAGCACCAGGTCCTGCAAGTTGTTGGTGATTGCCAGGAAGTTTGCGCCCACGCACAAGACCACCACCGCGATCACGAGCCGTGGCAGGGCAATGAACCTGTAACCCCCCTCCCCCATTTGACACAACTGACAACACCAGTTACACTGCACTAATGAAAACAGCCATAATGACAATAAGAGTAACCGCAAAAGTCTTGTATTTGGCAATAGTACCTGGTAGTTGGTCACCTGGCTCATTCTACCCCTGGGTTTCATACCATAAAAAACAAACAGAAACAACTTCTATGGAGGGCCCATGAGCAACAAGGAGAAGACTTTGTGGAAGGTTGGCAACTTGGAGACTGCGAAGGTCTCGTCTCCAGTTGCAAAGCATGCGTCAGAGTCGCTCGTCGAGGGCATATACCAAAGTACATGGAAAAGGTTGAAGATGCTCCGGAATTCACTCAGCATCAGCATAATCCAGACGAAGAGCATCAAGACCAAGAAGGTGACGAAGATGTGACCGAGAATCGAATCAGAATCGCCCTTGTAGGTCGTAACCGACTGGTAGGTTACCTTGTTCACGTCCCCTACCCGGTGAAACTCAGGCTCGCCACAGAGCTGTGATGTCTCGTAGCTGATCCACTGATAATTCGATCCGAAGAATTTCGGACAGAAAGTGCTCATAAGGTCCTCGCACTCAGCCACACGATCCTCATCCTCAAGGGCATCGCCTCCCAGCATCTTAGGCAGCTGCTTCGAAGCTTCGAGGTTTCCACACAAGTTTTTGTCGTTGGCCACGCAGACCTGGATCTTTCCTTTGTAGAACTTGAAGAACTCCATGTCCAGCTTGACAGGCCTCGTAGTCGTGCTGCGTGAGCCTGGGCGATTCGTCTCATCATACTTCGCCATGCGAAGCATGGTCTTATTCATGCCCGCGGCCATTTTGCTCCCCAAGCTGGCAAGCTGCGCCTGCCTTGCCACTACCTCGTCAATGGTCCAAAAGCCGTCGTGGTTCGTATCCTAGTTGCGGAATTTCTTTGGCCCAAACAAGGCCGAACTTTTCTTATGGTAGAATAGTAGAGTTACATGGTTTCCGAAACATATATAAAAGGGCACCTGCTGCTGCAGACATGATCCAAGCTCTCCGGGAAGATTGACAAGGTCAGCATCGGCTGGGTGCAGTCGAAGTCAATTTTCGAGGAGTCACGCAAGCCTCCGAGTGACACTGGGGCCTTGACAACTAGAACAGCGAATTGGGGTATGTTGTGCTAGAACGTTGACAAGAACCGGTTTTAGGGTTTAGGGTTTGGATAGTATTAGTAGCACTGGTTCGGGCTTCCATATTAGGGCCCAACAAGGCTTTATGCGGTTTGACGGCAGGGGTTTAAAGGTTTAGACAGCGCTGTGTCTTGGGGTTCGGACGGCATTGGTGTTGAACGGCGCTGGGTGAAGGTGCAGAAGGGTACGCCAGAAGCACAAGAAATGCCACAAATCTCGTTTAGTGGTACTTTGCTACGCGTGTTCAAACAACAAGCAGTCGGCTTTGTGTAGCTCGCTTTGCTGGCGTTGTTCTGTAGTGGCTGTCCATGTTGTGATTTCGACCTTTCCTGGCGATTCGCGCAGCCTCCGATTGTGCACGGATCGGAAACTTCTTGCTAAATCGGGAATAGGGTGTTGGTCTGTGAAGTCCGGCCAGCCTCCAAGATTCTCGGGATAGAGGGCTCCGATGAACTCGGGATGATGTGATATTCTCCAGCAGGTGCCACGATTCCTGGGCTGTGGGGGAAAACCTTCTAAAAGCCAGCTTTTTGCTTGTTCCTCCTAACTTTGCCGTGTCGCACAGAAATTCCGTTAAACTCGTTGCAAGAACATCCTAGCATCAGGCTCTTGCCAATGGATCCATAGGTTTCCTGTCCCACTTGCGCGATCTTCAGAGCAATCGTCAGTTGAACACCAACGTTCAGCAGCAGGAAAATGCTCACGAGCCAGTAATCGGAGAAGCGAGGTTTCGCCGACCCTTCTTTGCGGATCCGATCTAGCTTGAAGAACAAAGGCCCGAAGAAGGCATCCAAGTAGACATCGGGATCCGAGGGATCAAGGCTCCGCTGGTGAAGCTCCTCTTCTACGTCCAGGTCCAGGCTACCACCTTCGCTGCCCGAATACTCGTCCTGAGGCACGGGTGAAGCGTACGTAGCGCCACGCCTCAACAACCTCTGTATTTTCATGGCTCTTGAGCCCAAGTCGAACCTGCAGACATAGCGGTTGCTTGCAAGGTTCGGCTGACATATTCGATTCTACACTAATTGTCCCTAACCCCTTATATACCGCAACCCGTCAAGAATGAGTCTTGAAACCCTTGGAGCCACCTTTTTTTAGAAACCCTTAAACTTATCATCGTAAGCAAGCATCACAACAACCCTTTCAATTACCTTGACCTTTATTGCACGCTGTAAACTGCCGGCTTCCTCTTGGAGCACCCGGCTCTCTGTGCAGCTTCAGGTATAGACCACCTCGGGGAGGCTCGGCCCGGTGCACCCGAGTTTGAACCTAACGCCCTCGCCTAGAAGCATCAGCGACTAGCAGACTGGCATTTGCCATCGGCGCTAGCAAAGGAAAGTCCCAAACTTCAACATGCACACAGTTCAGTAAGGCCACGGCCATGCCGCCAGGAAGGCCAGCGACATCGAAGGCCTCGCGGCAAGCGAGAGTTACAACAAGATCTGATCATGCGCTGGGCTATTCCTCGAAGCAGCATCAGATCAGGGAGGGCTGCGGTACCCGAAGCACCATTTGCACGGACTGATACCACAAAGCTCACACAAAAGCACAACCCAAAATCACCAAAACCCACCCCCCCAAAAAAAAACTACCTTAACCACAAACCCACGACCCAAAACTCAAAAACCTTACGTCATGTTAGGCACACGAGCCGCCTCGCGCGCCATCAAAGCATGAAGGCGGCTGTTGGGTTTGCGGTGTCACGGTTTCAGGGTCTAACGCCGGTGGTTTAGGATTTAGGGATTTTTTATTTTTTCATGATTTAGTGTTTTTTCATGTTTTTTTTTATGACTTAGGGTTTAGGGGTTAGGCTTTTGGTATCCGGGGGTCGACGGATCAGGGTTTCAGAGTGCAGGATGTAGGCTTTAGGCTCTAGGTTTAGAGAGCAAAGCTACGGTTCTTTCAGCTCTAGTTATCGCTCTTCCGTGGACATGGTGCTAAGGTGTAGCCTCAACTGAGAAAAGCTCCAATATCGAACAACCTCAAGCATTGCTTCTGGACCGCTTCGGCCATGCAAAACGCCTCGGTCACATCCTCCACCTCTCATCTATCTTCATCACGATGTGTTGCAAGGACAAGCAGTTCCTGTGGCTAAAAGAACGCCGATATCGGCCCTAAGCCCCTGTAACCCAACAACCTGAGCGTTTTTTTGGCTGGGACTTTTTTCGTTCGCTCCTCGGTCGCCAATCCGGCGAGGATGCTCCGCGCTTCGAAGATCTCCGCCTCCCGGCGCCCCAGCTCGTCCTGTCAGCGCTGTCAGTGGGATGCAATGTTCAGGGTTCAGGGCCGAAGTCCTCTAGAAATCAAAGTTTGCGGTTCAAGGCTTGGGTTTAGGGTTCGCATGTCGAGGCCCATAATCGAAGCCCCCTTTAAGGAAGGATAACCGTCTATGATCGTCTTTTCCGGTCGCCCGTTGGCTGCAAGGAGAGTGATGCCTTGAGCTCGTCGATGACGTCGTTCTTCGACGCCAGGGCGCGGCGCAGCCGCGCCTCAAGGAACCTCTGGAAACATGGTTTTGGTGTGGTTAAGACCGTTTTGCCTGCTCCACTCTTTAGTTTGGGTTCAAGGTTTAAGTAAGCAGCTTAATGGCGACGATCCTACCGCCCCACTTCGGAAGAGGCTTGTAGCCTTCAGGGCCCCGGTCCAGTTTGGACAGGTTCACAGTCTACGGTTCAGAGTGTCGGGTTTGGATCTGGCTTCATAGACCTGGATAGGGCTGTTACTGGGACTTTGGAGCCTACAAACCCACTTCAGGTCAAATGTGCAGGGCTCAGGCAGGGTTGGAGTAACGATGAGGGATATGGCTGTCGGGATATCTTGCATACATACATACATCCATACATACATACATACATACATACATACATACTGTATATATGTATATGGATATGTAAATGTATGTATGTGTACAGAGTCGCTTGCTTTCCTTCCGAGGCTCCGATGTTGATGGGATCCCGTCTTTCCGCTCACCACTCCCAAAGTATAAGGTGGCCACCCTAAACTTTAACGCTGCCACGCCCTACAAAAAACTCCCCGCTGATCCGTCGGAAGCCAAGAAGCTCCAACTGGGTGGCCGAGGTATCCATGTGGCCCATCCTGCGCTTGGCGGGGGGGATTTGGCGCCTTCCAGGGTTTGGGGCCTGGCGTTCTGAAGTCCCCGTCTGCTCATGGCCGATTCCGAGTGGAAGCTGCAGGGCTGAGGCTGCTATGACTGCTTTCTGGCAGATTAGATACCACTGGGTTTCCGCGCCGCATCGATCTACAAAACCGTAATAGTAGAAAGAGGCTTCAACTCACTACAAAACGGCACACAGCGCCAATCAATGCCTTGCACCCCAGAAGACAAACCCCTCTCAATCCGAAGCTCTCGAATCAACCCTGCTTCCCGACTTACCACCTACTTACTAAGTCCCCCGATCCGTTCCACGTCCTTACAAGCCCTTGTGACACCCTACAAAATCCCTCATACAACTCCAGAAACAAACGCCCCCATGACCCTACAATATCCATCACCAGGCTCCCTAAAAACCATAAAAAGCCCCTATGAGACCCTACTCAAGCCCTCATAAAGCCCTACCAAAAATCCCTCATAGAACTCCATAATAAAAAGCCCCTGCGAGAGACCCTACTTCTACCTCCCATCACCAGGCTCCTTAAAAACCATAAGAAGCCCATATGAGACCCTGTGAGACCCTACTTCTACCCTTCTCGAAAGCTGCGGCAGAGGCGCAGCCGGCCCTCAGCTTCGGCGAGGCGGAATCGCAGCGCCTCCAAGGCGCTTCGGTTCAGGGTTTAGGGGGTTTAGGGGGTTTAGGGTTTACGGTTTAGGTTTTGTTGTGTTTAAGGTGGAGCTGTGCATCTCTCTCCGCAGGGTTTAGGGGTTTTAGGGTTTAGAGTCCAGTGGCGACAAAAGGGTGCGAGGTTTAGGGTGCTTATAAAACTTTTTGGGGCTTAGAGCTTTGGGCCTAGGGCGTGGATCCAGAATATGAGGACAACGGGACCCCCAAGCGTTCAGAAGCTCCAGATCAAACCCGACATAACCGCATCAAACCCTCCGCAAGACTCCACAAAGGGTCCCTGGCCCTCTAAGCCGCCGAGGTTAGCTTGGCGTGGCCTCGCGGCCAGGGGAAGGAACCGAATCGCCTCCAGGGTATGTGCTCTGGGTGGTTTGACCCGGCTTACTTGGAGGTTCATGGGTAGTTATAGGGTTATAAGTAAGGTAACTATAGCTACAACCCCATATTAGAAGACTTATAGCCATACTTATAACTACCCATGAACCTCCAAGTAGGGGGTTTATCTCTCGCTTTCTGGAGTTGTTCGGTGAGTTGTTCATTGTTTCGCGTTGCTTCGTGTTGCTCCGCAGGGCTCTACGGTTTCACGGGGTTTCCTCGGATTTGGTGTGGTGTTCCAAGGTTTGGTGGGGCATCGGCCGCTTTGAGGCTTTCGGGTTTTGCTGTTTCAATACTTCCGGCTTACGGTTGAGTAGCTTCGGTTACGATTGACAAGGTGGGCTCCAGAGTTTAGAAAACTGGGGTTTGTTCGGGGGGCGCGTGCGTTTTTTATCCAGCACCCCCGCGATAAGCCCAAGTGAGATCGTGTGCGGCTGCCTTCACGGACCCACTCAGAGGTGGGGGGCCCGACATGGGAACCCGCAGAGCTTCTGCGAATGGAACAGACAGCCAAAAAAACAGCGCCCCAAACCTTCGAAATCAGTAGTGGCCCCGAAAGGCAAATAAAAAGGAGGAGGAGGAGGAAGAGCAGGAGGATGTAAATCATCACCATCATCATCACGGTCACCATACAAGATTACAATCTACAAGCGCGGAACTAGCCCAGCCAGGAGCCAGGAGCTTCAGCTCAGGCTGCCAAGACCACACCATGAGCCCGAAATGTGCCACACTGTCACAGTAGCACGACGATGGGTACCCCAGACCAGGCACCGTTCTGTGGCGAGAGAGAACACAAGATGTGTTCGGGAATGCGGCGGGAGCATGATTGGAGGCGGCAGAAACAGGAGTCGCAGCCGCGAGAGTGGGCAAACCGGACTGTGGCGGGAAGACCATGCACGCCCCAGAGTACGTGCGGCGCTGTGGCGGGAGCATGATTTCGGATTTGGGGGAAATTCCTGAGCCTGAAGCGAATCGCGTGGCGTGTGCCGGCCGAGGGAAGACTAGCCAAATCCCTGTGTCACGCTGTTTAGCAGATACCAATAGAAACTCTGCATAACACAAACAACATTAACGAAGAGTGCCGTCCTTCGAGGCCACTGGAGTTGCCGATGCATCGCGCCTTCGGTTTCCGTAAGGATGCCAACCTCCACCATTTCAGGAGGCTGCCGCCAGGCCTGCAAGAAGGGGGTCTTCGAGGCTTCAGACAGGTCGCTGTGCGAGATTCTTTCTGGAATTCCCCATAAGCCGCACACAACACTGGAAGACTACACCCCCAACCGCTTTTCCATAAGGTCAGGCAAGTTCACCAGGGTAATACTCAGTTTGAGTCCACCGCGCAGGATGTTTATGGGTATTCAGGTCTTAAGGTGCCGCATAACACGGTGGTAACAAGTCTGAACTTACACCCCTCAAGTCTATCAGAATTTCGCCAACAACCAGCGGGCTTGGAGCCTGTTTAAGTTTCGGCAGCTGTGGCATGCGCTTGCACTCGGATAGCAGATTACACTCAGGTCGCGAATTTGGTAGAGTTTAATTGCGGCATCAAGCTGAAGAAGGGCATAGTGCGGGACAAACGGGTGTGCCGTGGAGGCATTTAGCAGGGCTCATGCCATTCCCTTGCCGCTTGGAGTCATCTTACGTGTTTTGACCAAGTCGCACCATGCATACACAGGCTCCAAAAACCTTCCGTGCCAGAACATCCTTTCTGCTGGCTGCTTCGAAGGAAAGAAATACTCCCGCACAGTATAGAAGCCGTAGATCCGCATAGATCCGCCAAACCTCCTGCAAACCGCTATCTTCGAGACGACAGCCCAAGGCCTATAGTCTGAGCTGAAACAAAACCCATCGCTCATCCTGAATCCCCCTCAAAAACCAATGCCCACTCCTAAGGATCTCTCTGTGCTTCAATTTGAAGGTCTATTGGTTAAGTTAGCAGCTTATGACAACCACGCTGGAATGTCACTAAAAACCTGAGAAAACCTCTGGCCTGAAGGTAAAATCCACAATAAACTGCTAAATCGGGCTGAATGTAATGTAAGGTCTACCACAGGGGCTACTCCAAGGTCTTAGTGTAGGAGAGAGCTCTCAATTTTGAAAGACCTTCGAGCCTTCTCCTCCTCTGCTTCCTCGACTTGGGCGGCCTCGCAGATCCAACAGCCCAGCGACTCCCGGGTCCCCCCGAATAGACAGAAGGTATCTCTGTATTATTGTAGATTGTGATCGGTATACGTTATACTTCATGGGGGATCCCCGGTTGATGCATGGAGCTTGGGTCCCAAGGAATGATAGGAATGGAACGGACTAAACCCAGACGAGAACGGCCTCCGGAGCTCTCAAAACCCTCTCAGAGGCTCGGCTCCCGACCAGCAAGCTGCGAAGGCCTCGGCGCTTTCTGCTATGTTTTCTCCTTTTTTTGGGGGGAGGGGGGGGNNGGGGGGGGGGGGGGGGGTGCGCGATTCGGGGCCTGAGACTTTTCTAAGACTTTCTTTGGGTCTAGGGTCTAGACTTTACGATCTAAGACTGTAAGGTCTGGGAGGTAGCGCCGACGGAACTTGGATTTTGGGAGGGCACTGCGATCAGCGCATGTGTACATGTAGATAGAGAAGGCAACCTTCGCATGAAAGCTGACGGCGGATGCATTGCTTCTGAATCTGTTGGGATACCCTCACCTGCCCAGACCCCACCTCTGAATCGCACCTCAGACTATCGGATTTGCATATCTATCTATCTGTCTATCTGTCTGTCTATCTATCTATATATCTATCTATCTATCTCGAGTAGAAACCGACAACCAGTTTCAGTCGCCTTGGCCCCTCTAACTGTGCGCTGGATGATTCGCTCCAGGGCCAGAGCTGTCCAACTTTGTTCGCAGCTCCGTGGCCTGGTTCGGGTCGGCGGCCGGGACTTCGGGGACTTTGAGGTTGCGGGGCTGCCGTGACTATAGTGTTTAGGGAGCAGGGTTCGGTTTCTTAAGACTGGGTTTAGGATGGTTTGAGCTTAAGGGTCACCCGCAACTTAGAATCAGAAATGTGGGACCTACATTTCGACTCGCGCTGGCACAAGGCAAGCAAGGCTTCTCGCCCACCGTTGAAGGGCCAAGGGCTTCGGGTTGTGTTTAAGTCCGAGGCCTCAAAAGGTGGGATGAAGGTAGGTGATATATTCTATATTCCCAAATAAGGGTCCTGAAGTAAGGGATCCTTACCTAGGATGTTCCCAAATGAGGGTCCTTATGTACCCTTCATCCCCACCTTTTAGAGGCCTCCGATGAAAGACTGGGTTCGAGGTCGGGTCTTCGGGGTTTTGGGCTTGGAACTTCGGATCCAGGAGTGGTGTCTGTCTTAGGGCCCTACGCGCTTATGATTCTGTGCCAAACTATAGACCTCCACGGGTTTACCGCATGCGAAACTAGGTATAAGTACCTGAAAAGCTGGCAAGAGGCGTGGAATCAGTAGACGGCTGTATCCTGCCGCTTTCGGCTGATAGGCACGGTTTCTCACAGCCCCAATCACCCTGCCCCGTCCCCAAACCCTAAACCCTGCACCCCGAGTCCTCTTCCTCTGCAACCAGCCGGCGCTTCGCCTCGTCGTGCACAGCGCGGCCAGGCTTATGGTTTATATGGGGCTTCGGATTTTAAATTCAGCAGCTCTACATCGAGCAGTTTCTAGTCGAGCTCGCTTTTTTTGGTGTTTGAAATCATCCCACCTACCTAAGATTTCCCGAACATGAGAACACCATTTCATTTGTATTATTGAACGGTAGAGCTTAGATCCTAAACTCTAAAACTCTAAAACCTTAATCCTGAACCTAGTGTTCAAATCCTAAACCCCAAAGCTTACATCTTCAACCTTAGCGCATGGACACCCCCGGACGCATCCCCGACTAGGCGTGCCCAGCCCTGAAAAACAAAACAACGAATAGACTAAGCGTGCCCGGCCCGGAAAGGCCAAGCACAACGAGTAGACTAGATGCGCACCGCCCAAGGCCAAAAACAACGAACAGACTAGCTGTGCCCAGCCCGGAAAAGCCAAAAACAACGAATAGACTAGGTGTGCCCAGCCCGGAAAGGCCAAGAACAACGAATAGACTAGGTGTGCCCAGCCCGGAATTGTCAAAAAAACAACGAATAGACGAAGCGTGCCCAGCCGCAAAGGCCAAAAACAAGGAAGTGTGCCCAGCAGAAACACCTGATCTGTTCGTTCGGACTGGCGAAAAAGCTCCAAAAACACACACACACACACAACCAACCAATCCCATTACGGTTTAAAGGCATGTGAACGAGAGGTTAAGTGGATTTGGTTTAAGGTTTCTTGAGCCGCTGCATGGCCATAGTTGAAAAGGCAGGGGTAGCTGTACAAGGGCTAAACAAAACAAGCACTCACAGGGTTTTGATACACTTCTACAGGGTCCAGGGTTTAGGGTTTCCAAAATCAAGGTAAACATGTAACTGACGAGTAGCAAATCCAGTTGAGGGGTTCATGCTCCTTGAGGTTTGGATAGACAGTACCTTGCCGGGAACTGAGATTTAACAACAACTCACCCCTGGCCTCTTGCGCGGCTTCAACGGACAAGCGGAAGTGCTCACCTTCCAACTTCGCCAGGACCTGTCACACTGAACCGTAAACCCGCGATGCTGAAATGCTATAAACTCAAACCCTGAAGCAACTTGGGAGCCCGCCTTGCGAGTATGTCGGGCCTACGGCTCAAGGCTTTTAGAATTGCTTTTGGGTCTTAGCTCCCTTCTTTCGGGTGCATCTGTCGTTTGCGGCTTTCGACGCTTACACACGGACAATGCCAAGCAAGGCTTGCAGACAAAACACTTCACATTGTACAACGTCGTGGGAAGTATTTGGATCATACTCCTCGTGAGAGCCTGTCAACTGGGGTAGCAAGATAGGTCAACACCAAGTGCTCAAGCCGGTAGGGCATGCCCCATCGACAGTAGTCTCACAAGCAGACAAACAGCCTAGACTTGGAATCCGGCCCTTGGCTCGGTCCTCCGGCGAGACTAGTGAGACAGGAATCCTTGATGAGGACGCAGCTATCACAGACCCAACCTGTGACAAGTACCGTATTCTCTACTGCTTCACATCTCCACAGGCATGTAAGGGATTTTTGTGCAAAGCAGGCAAAGATCACACTCAGAAAACACCCTAAACGGCCCTCAACCTGTCAGACAATGCAGCTCTTACAGGACCCTTCATGCAACCCTTTCAAGACTCTGAAAAGATCGCATCATTATAGCCCCGAAAATTCTTATAGAACATTGTTTATTAGCACAAACAACCCATTATACAACTGTCGAAACCCCCGCTAAGGGGAGTGCCTCTGCTACTTGCTGCTCGCGGCGATGCTCAAAGGCTGCCTTCACCTGGGATGCACCCGAAACCCTAAACTCTAAACCCTGAACCCTATGTTTGAGAGAAACACCGCAATTTCTGCACTAGATCCTGGCCCTTCGACGTCCGTATTCCTTGCGCACCAGAGTCCCAAATCTGCCATCGTTTTGGGCTGCAGGCGAAATCTTCATATGCCGGGGCCTACTCGAGCATGGAGGACCAGTCACAAAGAAACTGAACAAAAGTGCCTGAAATAGTGTGCTATGACGAATGTGCAAGGCGGCGTCCAACTGTAGCCTTAATGAGAAGGACTTACAAAAAAGGATGCCGAAAGGGCCGCGTCAATCCCTCGAGGGAACTCTGCACCAAGTCGAGCGATGAGGCAGCTGCTGCTTCGACTTCGCCTGGGTCACAATCATTCGTACACGTGCGAAGATCGCATGGCCTGTGGGTTATTGGGGGGGGTTCTCAACACGTGGGGTTTCTGATTTAGGCGGGCCTATGGCCAGGATTCTACTATTTAGAGTCTGCATCAGTGGTTCCTTGATCTGAGGCTCGCAAGTACTTTTTGATCGCTTCGTGCTGTTTAAGTACAGCGACGCAAAGTGCTGAGGCACACACAATGAGTGTAGTCTTGCGAGGATGGAGCAAAAGCGACAGCCATGGAAAAAGTGAGGGAGAATTCAGCAGAAAGAAGTGGTGGCAAGAGGAACAGTCGCAGCAGCAACCCCAGCAAGAGTACTTGTAGTGGTCGCCGGTGCCATTGCCACAGTTGTCGTGCCAACAACAGCAGTAAAAGCAGCAGCAGCAGCAGCAGCAGCAGCAGCAACAGCAGTCGTCGCAGTCCTGGTGCGCTTAGTTGTTGTGCTTTGGGCGAGCAGGACGCAATGATAGCGGTGTCCACGGTTGGCGACAGAGTAGGCTAATTAGGCCCTGCAAGTATCATGAGCTGTGAACGTTATGATGTCAGTGTGTAATAAGCATCTTCTTCGAGATATGGCTCATGTTTGCATCACTGCGCCTCTCAACTGAGATGTCCACGGGCTAGGCCCTCGCGCGCTGACAGAGCAGTGGCGGAAGCCTCCCAGGAGCAAACCACCTGAAACCTCAAAGCGTTTTGTAGGAACGTGATACTTTTTGGAAGTACCAGGTGCTTGTAAACGTTCAACTTGAACACCCCCTCACTTAATGGCAAGGGTCCCTGGAAACACGTAGTGGCTCCCTCACCTGGCATTCCGGGAAAAGAGGTTGCGAAGCAAACCGAGGTTCTTGTGGCATCAGATGATCATCCTACTCGCCCAAAACAAAACAGCTGCCTAAAGCCTGAACCCTGAACCACCCCTTCACCTCTTTTGTCTCTACCTGATAAGCCCCCTTTGCACGAGTCTTGGCCCATAGAAAAAAACCTGAAGGGCTGAGTTGCGCCTCCCTTCTGGCGGAGGCCTGGGCACCAAAAGTTCAGCACTTCGGGGCTCGTTTCGGGCTGTTGGGTTCAGGGTTTGAGGTTTGGGGCTTGAGGTTTAGGACTAGGATGTAGGGTTTGGGGTTTAGGGTTTCGGGTCTAGGGTTTAGGTTCAGGGTGATGCAAGCAGTGGAGATCTGCCTGCCGAACCCTCCGCGAGTGCTCTGCTGGTTTGGTTACTCGCAACTCCATGGGTGAACCGATCGATTGCTTTTTGAACCCTGGTCATGCGGAGGGAGGGTGTTTTTGACAGGTGCAGGCGTTCTAACTGGCATGCACCGTTGCAGACGTGTCCTTGCTCAAGGAGTGGGTAGAACATCGCAGTCCCAACGGCCCGAACCAATAGCGTGGATTTGTGTCGCTGCCTGCCGGGCGATTAGTAAGTGGCCATCTGCACAATGACAGAATATGTAGCGACCTGCGCACCTTGAGGTCGAGGTCGTGGGTCCATCAGTACTTGGAGGATAGGGGACGACAAGTAAAGAGTTGCAAATCCATGAATTTGGCGCAATCCCACCCCTGCGTACAACCTACTTCCTGAACCGCCTGGTCCTGATCAGTAAGGTTCAGAATCGTCTTTATGGGACGTGCTAGGACCTGCTAGGATTTTCATAGGGCTTTGTATGGGTGTTGAACAGGGTCTTGTATCTTCGAACCAATGATCTGGTGTACTATCTTCACCATCATCCTAAACTCCAATCCCTGCACACCACTAAATCCTACACCGTAGACCCCAAACCGAACCCCTGAACCCTAAACCCTAATCCCTAAACCCTAGACCTAAACCCTAAACCCTAGCCCCCTAGACCTAACCCCTAAACTCTAAACCTCATCCCAAAAACCTCCCGTAACCGTCGACTCTCGGACCCCGCGCCGCATCCGCTTCGGCGGAGCGCGCCGCGCGCGAGGCGGCCCGCAGCTCGGAGGAGAGCTGCTCCTGCAGAGAGCAGGCAGTGGAAAGTTTAGGATTTCAAGTTTATATAGGGCTTGGGTTTTTGTTTGCCTCTAGGGTTTAGGGTTTAGGGCTTCAAGTTCTTTGGAGGGGGGGTGTAGGGTTTGGGTTACGACGAACGAATATGTAGAAATATTTGGACTCACAAGGCACATGAAATAATGTGTTGTCATCACTTCGGTCCCCGAGACTTCATGCTATTGACCGGAGGAATACTCGGTTCTCTGAAAAGAAGACGGCGGAGTGGGGTATACGCAATCATGGGCCAAAGGAAACATCGTTTCCAGCAGAACCAGGCCCAGACACGATGCGAAACCTAACCGATGCCCCATCCTTGAAGCCCAGTACTGTAAAGATCCACCCTTGCGGTCTTTGCCGGTCATGTTGTTAACATGTCCGTTTGGTCTCGCTACCTTTCTCCATACCCTTACATATCCTTACTCTCTACTCGCAGCATCACTCTCAAGATCATGGTTGCTGAGACCGCACTGCTTTCATCCTCTTTCATCGGACCTCTGAAGCCGACCCACGGGGAATACTCGCGACAGAGAACAAAACCAGACCCGGCCTCGGTGGCTGATGCCTGAGACAGGGCTGGGGTGCCCGGAAGCATTGGGTCTCGGAGTCTCCTCCACTCTTTGACTCTCTGGCTCCCTAGGGGCCCTAGGGCCCCTAGGGGCGTTTTCGCGGCTCACGGCTCTTGTTATCCTTCGATGGCCTTCCGTCTCCTCTGTCATCGAGAGGGAGCCGAAGCAAACCCCCAAAGTAAAGACTCCCAGGAACCTGAACTGAACGACATCGATGCGGTGAGCAGGACGAAATTGCTTTCACCCCTGCGCCACCAGCAAATATCTATCTACGCCAAGACTGCCTCTTCTCACTGGACCACCCAATGTTCGTGTTTCACGAAGGCTTAACTACAGGGGATCTAGCTCCAATAAGTGGATGTCCGGTTTCCAGAGTTGGCTTTCCCCCTGGCTCCAGGCATGCAGGTGGCTCGCGGGAGCGTTCTGGGTCTGCATCGGTGTACCTAGATCACATTTCCAGACACTCCTACAACATCCAACATCATAGCTGTAGTGTAAACTCAATCGTCTGAAACACTACACTTCCAAATCCGGAACCTTGAACCCATTCTAACCGAAACATCCCGGCTCAAGAGAAGGGCCAGGCCGCCTGACGACTCTCCGACGCCAGCATCTCGTCCCGACTGACCTCGGAGTGGCTCTAGGCCTCTAGGCCTGCTGAGGCATCGCTGCACTGTTCAGGTTTAGGGTTCGGGCTGTGGAAACCTGGTGAGAAGCTCCGTGGCTGGCAGAGATGCAAGACAGGATGCGCGATGGAGAGGCAGAATTATACTATAGTAACCATAGTATACTATCACACACTATGAGACACCATAATAAGACTACTAGATACTTCATATTCCTATTCCTGTGGTGCTGATCCACCGCTGGGGTATCAAACCTGGTCGCTGGGGAGCCGACGCGCAGCTCCTCTACCTGGGCTTTCCTTAGCACACAGCGTCCGGGCTTGTTGTTTTACTTTAGAGTCTCGAGGAGGGTCCATGCAGGGTTCTTGGGTGCAGCGTGTAGGGGGGCTCAGGGGTTAGCCGGGTTAGCCTTTCCACCTGCATGGCGGCACATCGCTCAGGATGGCGGGTCCTCTTACACGAAACGCAAGAAGAACAAGTTTAGAACACCACATCGGATGTGTCGACGAAGGGATGACTGTCAGCCATGTCTTCGGTGCAATCACACGAACAATGAACATGTAAAGGAGCAACAACTCTGCCGCTGAACCTCCCGCTGCCCAAACAGGGCCAGGCACTCATGAGGAGCCTCCTACTCGCCTAAGGCTGCTGCAACGCTCGGATCGTTGCTGCCTGGCAGGAACCGCAAACTCGGTGGAGTCTTGATGCATGCTGGGGCTTGGGGTTTTGCTCGGGCAGCTTCTACCAGAATTGCACAAGGGCTTGCCAGCACTCCAAGATCTCTTGCTTCAGACTTGCTCCTTGCTCACCATGCTACAGTACTGATCGTTGATATGGGATCCTCCGGCATAGGGATTTGTTTACCTCAGGCTCCTGACTCAGCTTCATTCACCATCGAGCATTGGGGCTATCGAGCATGGGGGCTGCCCCAAAATACCGTGACCTGTCGGACAGCGATATGACATTAAAAAGCGGCTGGCTCTACAATCCTTTACTAGGATCATCTACTATCTGCACTCCGCAAAACTCAGCACAAGGGACTCGATAATTCTTTCGAAAGTAACACCCCGAACCTTATGCCCGAAACGCTGAACCCTGAATCCTTAGATTCTATAAACTCTTTTTCAGCACGGGCTTTGGGTGTGTGCCGGCAAGCTGGAATCTTAAGGTCTTCACAAGACACCAGCAAACTTGCTAGAGTCTTTTTTGCATCTGGTTTGCAAGCCTGAACCCTAAAGGCCCTAAACCCAATGGCATTCCCTTGGAAAAGCTCTTCACGGCAGGGGGGCCTCCCCGGCCCGGTGCCGCGCGACGTCCTCGGCAAACTCCGAGCGCCTCGGCTGAGCTGAGCAAGGTTGTAGGGAGTCTTTTTCTTCAAAAACCTTCCCGGTTTTTTTCCCAAAACTTCACAGTTTCAGCACTCAAACTCGGACTTGCCTGGGTGAAGTTTAGGGTTTGGGGTTTGGGGGTCATTGACTTTAGGGCTGCTTGGGCATGCCAGGCGAGGTTCTTGGTGCGCAGTGGGTGACCAGTGGGTGGGCCACCTTAATCCGAAGGCCCGGCAGAGTCAGAGCCCCGAAAGCAGAAGAGCTCCCGTCAAGAGAGCAGCGTGTAAGCTGGGACGTCGGCATGGCTTCAATCTGCCGGTGGGCCTCGTTTGGGGTTGGGCCGAAGAAGGTCTTCGCGAATCGGTATCAGAGAGGAAGCAGCTAGGCCTGGTTTTGCGCAACACCAACACTAGGTATGAGTCTGTGTTAACCCATGGCGCGGAAATGAGGCGTGTGCACTGTCTCAAAACTAAAGTTCCCTTTGTCTGGACGAACTTACGCAAGATTATCACATATGGACGTCCGACTATTTCGAGGCTCCATGGAACCGGAAGGCTCGCTCGAAATTCGAGGCTGCACCCTTCAACCGGAAGCCCAACTGCCCCTTTCCATAACTGCAGAACGCTTGGGCTTGGCATTCTACCAGCCGCATGTGCAACCCTCTGAAACCATTCAGCAACCCTTCAAAGGACCTATTCTAATGACGACTCTGTAGTTACAAACAATCCTAAAGCACCTTTCCTTCCAGAACAGCTACGGTAAACCAAACATGATTTCACATGCGAGCACAAGTTGCCGAAGACCCTCAGCCCCCAAAACCCTTCTTGGGCTTCCGGGCTGCAAACTGCTCTGCCCTGACGGCTTGGTTGCAGGCGCTCTGCAGCCTCGACGCGGGGGTTGCTTGAATTCAGGTTAGAAGGCTTGGGGTTGAGAGTTCCGGGGTTTTGGGTGTAGGGCCGTGTAGGGTTAGGTTCCGGGTCAGGATGGCTGTGGCGGTTTATAGCTGAGGGATTGGCGGCTTGGGCGCAGCTGAGGTATTTGATGCTCTGAGATCAGGGGGTTGGGTTTGGGATGCAGTCCTTTCGTTCTTGACAACAGCATAACAAACAAGTCCAACCTGTTACCGACCAATGTGGGGTGAAGGGATCAGAAAAGTGAAGTACGCATCGCGCCAAGTAGCAACAGAAGTTACAATGGTTGCTGCCGTGTCCCAGGGTTGGGCTGCTGGTGACATGATCAGAACAATGATAGCCTTGAGGAGGATGATGCAGGTGCCTAGGTGAAAGGCAAGGTAGGATCAACAGCTTCTTATGTAATGGCCTATCAACGACCTGCATGTAAACATGCATATATAGAGCGAGAGGACAGTGTCCCCTCATGTATGCTGGCATGTGGGCCTCCATGTTTATGTAGGCGTATGGAAATCAGTTACACAAAGCCATGGAGTTGTATGTACATAAGTAAGAGGCCCTGCTAATGAGAATAGGGCTTCGGATGTTTATTCCTGTATAACTGTATCCGGGATGTAGCAAGTCGAAACGCGGCACTGAGGCCAAGCACTCTTCCGTCATGCTCTGCGTCCGCAGGCGCTCCGCATCGAGGCCTGGCAGATGTTTCACAAATCAAGAGCTGTTTAGGCTTTGGAAGTGGATGCCAGAAGCCCATGTCCTTGTACCAACTTTCCATTGTGGTGCTGGGGTTGGACGATCAGTTGTTGGGATGAAGGTGCCAGCGGCAGGTTGCGAAAGCAGCTTCAACCTGTAGTTCTGAAGACACCCGACACCTGCCTACCTGCGACCTGTAGAATCTGTAGAATGTCGAACATCAGTCTGTAATTCCTCGTGCCTTTCACGCTGCTGCAGCATTGAGAACTGCTCGGGAAGTGGCATTCGCAAAAACCTGCATCCTATACCTTGCAACCCTCAAAGCCCATTCAAAACATGCCAGCACGACGCAGGTCAAACCGCGCCCGCAGAAGAGACACCTCCTGATCCGTGGAGATTCAAGGAGTTTGGGGTGTGTGGTTCAGGGTTGGAAGGGGTTCGGGTTTCTTGGGTGCCTGGTTTAGGAGCGAAGAGCCTTGAGAGCGTTACCCGAAACCCTGAATTCAAAAATACTTCCGGTCGCCTGCGATCCTCTTCGATTTTTTTGAGGCCGCATGCTCAACATGCTGAGCGACAAACATTCCCCGAAGCCCTCTAAAACAAAACAATTTCAGGACAGTCCACCCAACCAACCACTCAGAAAGGCCACGGACTCTACCACTCTAACCTGTTCGAGGCTGAACTGTCCGTGCCACCTGGAGCCATGGCTTTGGGGTGTTAGCTCTCTCGACTATGGCATTCCGAGTCTGTAGGCCAGCTAGTGTAGGCAAGAACTGTCCTAAACCCTAAACCCTAAACCCTTCTTATTGAACCCAGGCTCTGATCATCAGCTAAACCCTAAACCCTATACCCTAAACCTAACCCCTATAAGCACCAAAACCGTCATCCCCTATCCCAAGCCGCATAGACAGATTCTGCTCTCAGGGGCGAGCCGGATTTCCCTGGCCGACGGCATCACGAGGGCGGTGGCCTCTTCGGGCGATGTTAGGGTTCGGGCCTTTATGAGGCCCTTTTTTCGGGTTCGAGCCTTTAGGAAGCCCTACACACTCAAAACTTTAAACCCTAAACCCCAAGCCCAAACCCTAGACTCGAAACTTTACATCCTGAAGCCCGAGCCTGACACCTCACAAGCTGGCCGTGTGTACCGCTTTGCTTAGATTCCCAGTGCTGGCCCAGCAGAAGTTAAAGCTTCAGTTCTACGGGGTGTTACAAACTCCCAAAAGGTTTCTGTAAAGCCTGCACACTCAGCTACTCCTGCAGTATGTTTGGGGTTTTCTACTTCAGTGAAGCACCCATCCACCGTTGTTGGAAGTCAGGCCTCGGCCTGCTGATCACAGAAGGAATCACGCGCAAATGGCACCCTCCCGAGTCCACGACCAGAATGGGCACTACAAGAAGAAGTGACAAGAACCATAGCTAGCCGTGGTAATAACCGTTGTACTGACCGCAACAGCGCTCAGTTCTACCCACCAGAAGCCCATGAACAACAACCTTGCAATTTTCCTCGGCCGGGTCTGTCCGGACCGTGCACAGCCCAGGGCTGATCGACAAAAGTGGGTCGGAAGTCTTTGGTGCCCCTATTCAGCTTAGAGGCTCTTGGTCTCCGCTCAACGGTGTTCCTAAGAGGTTCCAGAAGCTTCAGAAGCTAAAACCCTAGGCCCTATGGCTTCAAACCAAAGATCATGAATCGTACTCTGAGAGGGTCACCCCCTCTGCGACTGCAAAAGCGATGTCCGTGTGACTTCGCTCAAGGTGCGCTGTGATGGGGACGAGTTCTTGCCCCAGGAAGAGCTACCACGTAGCTGCTGCATGTCCTCTCTGAGGATAGGCCACCAGACAACGACTTCCCTCACAGGGCTTCGGAAGAGAGGGCTCTCATTTTCGGAAGCCGAAGTCTGCCAGTTCAATCCTCTGCTGCGAAATGTGAAACATGCGACGGTCTGTTCGAAGGTTCAACATTGAGGACCGAGACAAACTGCTGCAATGCGCCCATGTAAAGCCCTACACCCTACACCTTAAACAGCCCCATCGCTCGACTTCTTGAGCCCGCCAGTACTATGACTTCAGGTAAACAGGCTGGCCGGATCGCTGGAAGCTCCGCAGAAAAGCCCAAGCCCCAAGCCAGAGAGTCCAACTTCTCCCTGAATCAAGGCATCTTGCCTTTGCCATAAATAATACTCGGGATTGAACATGAAGTTAGACAATTAATGGGCAAGTTGGGCTCCTTGGGAACATCGGGAGGGCCCTCCCAGAGGTCTTGGAGTGGACATCCCCGGCTGATGAAACTGGCACTCACCTTCTGCAGGGAGATTCGCACACGCCGGTGGTTTCCTGGGCAGGCAGCCACTTGGTCCAGCTCCGTTAGGTTTCGTGCCTGAGGGTTTAGGGTTTCGGGTTGACTTTCCGAGGACCCCCAAAAACCTTGGCAACGACTGGCTGAGGGAAAAAATCCGACCTCATGCACTCCTCATGCACATCAAGCAGTTGTCTACATGCGGGTACCTTTTAACCGCCTTGTTCAAAGGAGGCACCATCTTTTTGACACTCCAATAGAAATAGGACCGTAGCCGTAGCCATTTGGGGATCCTTAATTAGTCCCCACTCACAAAAAGAAATTCGAACTTGCGAAGCGCGGTCCCTGTCTTCGCCCCTGCAAAAGCACAGGGAAATTTGGCCACAGCTTAAGGTTCAGGGTTTCGGGTCGAGTTTAGGGTCTGCTCTTCTTCGGAACAATCCCCCGCTGCCCAAACGCCGCCCCCAGCCCGAAGCAGAGACAGGCGTGGAGCCCAGCATTGCCCCAGCTACGCCAATCTTTGCAACAGATACCGGGGCATGGATTAAAAGGCTGAGCTTTGTGGTTTTGGGGTTTCTTCTGCTATTCTTATATTTTAATTCTAATGGGCTTCCTTGCTTTGGGGTTCAAGGTTTCTGTCGAGAAGAGCTGCGAACATGTAGGATGACGCAGCGGCGAGGCCAGCGAGAAGTTGGAAGGACTCGCTCTTGCACCTTCGCGACTTAGGGTTTAGGGTTTATGGGGGTTTAGGGCTTAGGGGTTTAGGGTTTACGGGGGTTTAGGGTTGGGGGTTTAGGGTTTAGGGGCTTAGGGTTTAGGGGTCTAGGGACTAGGGTTTAGGGTTTCGGGGTTTAGGGTTTATGGGGGTTTAGGGCTTAGGGGTTTAGGGTTCAGGATCTCAGAGCGGACATCCCCGGAGAGGATCCATGCTTTGACGTCAAGGCCTGCTTTAAACAACTAGATGTCAAGCGAGGGCTTCTGGGGTCCCAAGAATGCGCGCGCGGCCCGAGACCCTAAACCCCCTCAAGAGCCGCATAGAAGCCCTTAAATCGGATCACAAAGCCAAGTTGCACAGCCAAGGAGATGTCGTCAGTCGACTTGCAGGCCGATCTCCTCGCAATAGTACTGAATCGAACGGTGTAGGGTTTAAGTTTCCCTCTCGCATAGCTAAGGTTCACAGCCCACAAGCGAGGTCGAGGGTTTTAAGTTTAGGGTTTGGGGGTTGGGTTAGAGTATTTAGGGTTTAAGTCTAGGGTTTCGGACCTAGGGTTCAGGGTGGGCCTGTTCAGGGTTTAAGATGTAGGGGGTTTGGGGATGATGCATACACACACCCACACCCTGTACACACCACACCACAACATCCCACAACAACAGAAAGCACCCGTCCCCATACAGACGCAGCTACAAGTAGCAAAAAACAAAGGTTAACGATCTAAGGTAGATTAAGGTGGGCATGCAAGAAGTTTGGACGAATGCCAAGTGCAATTCTCGAAAGCCAAAACCCTCAAAGCCACATAAACAAGCACAACATGAAACGCACTGCATAACTGTCATAGACGCCAAGGCTCATCACGATGGTGGACATGAAAGACTGAATCAAATTCTTGCTGGTAAGGGCGATGCTCTTGGCACAGACCCAACCTTGACCAGGAGACTGACGCACGTGTGTCATCCCAACTTTCGGGACTCAGGGTATGCAGGTATTCATAGGAGATTCGACTTACAACTTGCTCTTCAAACCCTAAACCACGCCCCGTGATCCTCTGCCAGCCACGTGTAGGGCTTAGGGTTCCTAACGTGGGGATTCACCTACAGCTCGATGTTCTGCGCAGCGCCTCTGGCAACACCGTGCAAGTGCGAACCAAGCAGCTGCTGTGGTAGCAGTTCCACCTCGACTGCCAGCTTTTGCATCACAGCTGTATGCGACATGCATAGCCACTTATAGACCTTCAGAATTCAGAATTCTAACCCCAAATCCTTTCACCAGCCCCGCGGCATGATGTCGGCCCCATCCTCGATCACCCCATCGATGCCGGACTGGACCTGGCTCGATCTTGGGCCGAGGCTTTAAGGCTTAGGGCCTAGGTGTTTGTAGGGCTTAGCGGTTTCACCGTTTTTGCTTAAGGCTGGGCGTTTCGGGTGTAGGGCTTGGGGTTTGGGGGTCTTGGGTTTAGGGCTAGGGCTTAGGTCTTAGGGTTTAGGGCCGCGAAGGGTTTAGGGCTACGGGTGCACGGTGACTCGACGGCGACAGCGGTTACAAAGGCTTAAAGTTGATGGTGCCGGGTCTTGGACAGCGGTCACACAAAGGCATCACTCTAGAACCTGTATGAGAACCGAACCAACCTGTCCAACACCGGCCAAGGGTCGTTCAGCGCGCTGGACCTGGGTGCGCTGGGATCGAGGGCTCAAGGGCCTAGGCTAGGGACAATCGGCCTGAGTCCTCAAAACCGGGCTCTCTTAATTCTAATTCTGATAGGCTGCCCCTATTTTGGCAGCTTTTAATTTCTAATTCGCTTGACTGGAACTCTGAAATCACATCGCTGGGCCATGTGACGCCAGGGACCCCCGGAGCCTAGGGGGCCCGTTGAAGCTCTCGTGCTTAGGACTTCGAAGCAGCGAAAGCCCAGAAGACTACAAAACCCTAAGAATCTCACATTGCAGTTCCCTCTGTAAGTGCCACCATATCCAAAACCTACAAAAACGTGAACAATCTGACATTTCAATTCTCTTTTGACGGTGCCATCATACCCGAAACCTATGCTGAGAAT